GTCGTGTGTTAAACATTGCAATAAATTTTTTAGAGTTTTTTTAATTTTTCGGTTGGGGGTTTTCGGGCAAGGGCCAAAAAAAATTTGCCCGCCAAAGTTTGCACTATTTTTTGGGAAAACCTAGAATTATTTTTTTCAAAAAAATCGGGGCGATTGTGGATTTAATATATTTTAAAAGTATAGTAATATTGTTATTTTCCGACGAAAATGGGGAATAATTGGGAACATGCAAGAAAGGGTTTACAGCAAAGATTAAACTCTTTTTTTGAAAAACTGTAATCTATGGGGCCTAGAGGTAAAAACCGGGCCAAAAATAAAATTAAATTGTTTTTTTGGGGTAGAGGACCCGTTTCTTTCCCCTGAACCCGGGTTTTTTTAAATTTAAACAAGCTTTGGGAAAATTTTTGGGCGATTTTTAAAATTTTTTAGGGGTAGTATTTTTAAAAAAAACTGGGTCCTTTTTACTTTAAATCAATATCTTAAGGGGAAAGCTTTGAAAAACAAAAGAATGTTTTAAAAAATGTAATTTTTAACAAGTATGAAAAATCCCCTTTTTTTTCCTTACAAAATTTTTTGAAACTTTTTTCGGCCCCTATCCCAAAATTAAAGCTTTCCAAATCTGGGGATTTACAAAATTTTAAAGATATAGAGAGATTTCAAAAGAAATTTTGCAAGGAAAAACTTTTTGGGTGAAAATAAACTCTTGTAAGGGAGCAATTTTGGGGAGCTTTGGAAGAACCCCCCTTTAGTTAATCGAAAAGTTCCCATAAAAAATATTGTTTAAAAATAATACATTCAAGCAATAATTGTTAAATTTTGTGTATATAAATACATTTAAAACAGTGTAAAAAAGGGGGTGAAAAACTGGGGGATATTTAAAAAAAAGGGAATTTTAGATGGGAAATTTTTTTTTTTTCTGAGGTGGAATTGGGCCCGAACTTTATAATCCAAAAGAAAATTTTTTAATATTTTTTAAAACAAAGAGTCATTTATGTTTTTTAAAACAAAAAAAGGTTTTTAGATATTGTTTTAAAAATAACGTTTTTAAAAAACCATTGTATAGACATATTCAAAGGGTAATTTTTTTAAAGGAATGGGTATTTAGATAAAATTTAAATGTATGAAATAAAAACAAAAATTAACCCGTCCCAGAATATTGCGCAAATTTAAAAATAGGGAAAACTGGGAAAAATTGGTAGAAAAAAGACTTGAAAGCCCTGAGCGCATATTTTCAACTTTGTAATACCAAGATATTGAAGACGAATTCCCCTTTTTTACTTGTTTTTTAAATTTTTCCCCGGAAAATTTCGCCCCTAAATTTATTAAAAAATATTAAATTTTAAAAAAAACCCAGCCAAAGTTTAAATTCATAGGAAAAAAAATTTTAGTCATTGAAAAGTCATATTATTAAAATTTTTGTAAATTTTTTTTATTTTGCAAATAGTAAAAGAAAAGATATGTTGATAACTTAGGGGTTTTACATAAATTAATGTTTAAAATTTTTTATTATTTTTATTTAAATATTTTAACGTTTTGATTTTTTACTAGTAATTTTTATATTTAAAAAGAAAATTTAAATTTTTGAAAATCAAAAAAAAGAGGTTATTTTGAATATACATTTTTTTTTATAAAAAATCAATTTTTTTTTCGCCCCCAATATTTTGTTCATTCTCCAAAACACGTAAATAATTAATCATGTGTTTATCTATTTTATGATATTTTAGATATGTGTAATGTAACAATGATAGCTGTATTGTATACGTTTAACGAAAAATAAAATTTTTGTTCATAACAGGCAGAGCGCTGACAACGCGAATCCCGAAGACAGCCCCGCCAGTTAACCCGTGCAGTGTAACAAAGTTAAACTACATGTATTGTTTAATTTAAGCAGGTAAAATCCGAAACAACGAGACATTTAAAAAATTCACAGCATAAAACAAACTCATAAGGTAAATTCAGCACCCATTAAGTTACAAATATGAAAGTGAATTACTTTTGCTTTTCATAAACATTTTTCGTGTCTTGTCACATTTTCTCTAACAAGAGCCAATGCCCCAGCGGGACCATACTCGACCTCCAAAGTCAACGCGGGAAGAATATTGTAGTAAAGATTACTCCTAGAAATCAATATTTTCTTGTACAAAATATAACTAAAATTTCATATTTGACATAGACGGTCAAGGTCAATTAAAGATCAAAGTCATATCAGAATAATTTAACATATGTAGGTATTGTTGTACGTTATATGCATTCTTTTGATCAAATTGTAAAAAATAACAGAGTTATGACAATCTAAGCAAATTTTAATAATCTGACCTTGAAGGTCAAGAAGGTAATTTTTGAATAATTCAAAATAATTTTGTCATAAGTGTTCTTTTGTCCAAGTATAAATTCAAATCTCTGTAAAAAAAAAAAAAAATCCAAGGGCAAAAATTCTTTAAAACTTTGAAAAATTAAAATAGATTTTTCTTTATTTGGGTTATGATCAATAATTTAAAGCCATTAAAAAAAACTAAAGCTACAAAAAAATGTTTGGTCCAAAAAAACAAATAAAAATTTTATTTAAATTTTACCTTAAGTGTCAAAGTCAAAATTTAAAGGGCAAAGTCAAATAAATCTTTTTTTAATTTCTTGTTCCCCAAAAAATTTTTGTGTAAAATAAAAGACAATTCATCCATTTTTTTACAAATTAAAGCCCATTCTTAAAAATCTTTTTAAAAAGTTTTTTTTGCCAAAATTTTGAAAAACTTACCAAAAATTAGGGGAAATGATAGAAAAAACAAGGGGAAAAATTTAAAAATTTGACATTTAAGGTCAAAGGGCATTTATGAAATTTGAGGGCAAAGTGAAAAGTCAGTGTAGTCTACTTGGAGATCTTGTTTGTTTTCCCCAAAAGACCCTATGGAAAAACAATCCATTCAGGGAAAAAGAAAAAAAATTTGGGCCCAAAAAATTTTAAGTTTTTTGGGCAGCAGAAGGAAACAGCAAACATGAAATGTAGCAAAAGGTTTTTCCCCCCTAAAAAAATCCCACTTTTTAACTACTCATTGAGCATTTAGCTCAAAAATTAAAAAAATTGGGGTTTAAAAGCATGTGAATTTTTGTTCCCAAGCAAAGTAAAGGGGGTGACTGGGTTTTGGGGTTTTTATTTGGGACTAAAAATTTAAATTTTCTCCCCAATTAAGACAAAAATAAGACCCCTTTTCTTTTTATAACATAAAACTATTAAACCCCAAAGTCAGCCCTTTTGTCTGGGGTTAAAGACCAAAAAATCATAGCATTAATATTGGCGAATCAAAGCCATAACCTTTAACATACTTAATCATAAATGGTGTGACACAGAAGCTTGCATCTCACTGCTAGGGGAGGTAATCACTGTAGTTTCTTCATGAATGATAAAACATTATCTCCCTTTGCAAATGTAACAAACATTGTATAAAGCAAGTCAATATTTCTTTTTATAGATTTCCTTTATTCTTTTATGACAGAAATTATTCTTTTTTCATAAAAGTTCATAAATAAGTAAAGTGTTTTTAAATATGTACAACAAATTCTGTTTTTCAAACATTCCAGTAAACTCATTCATTCTAAAATATAATATACACAAATATACCAAATAACTTTTAAAATAAATCATCATAACAACTGTACATTACACTCAATAATTTATACACTAGATAGATACATGTGGACAATTTAACATTACTTGATTTTGACATTTAAATTTCATGCTTGTGATATTCAGGTGACATGGCAAATAAAATTCTGTGACATTCCAATTCACATTACATTTAAATTCAAAAGTCATTTAAATTCACTCAACAAATTCATGTTACATTTCAGTACACAAGACATTTGAATTAAATCCATGACATTTATATGACAAAGAAATTCACATTTTAAACACATAATTTGTTAACAATAAGCCCCTAAACCCCATATCCAACTATCAGATTATTAACAATGTATTACAATATCCAGTAACAAACTGTACTAATTCCCATTTTTTGTTTTTTCATAACTTGATAGTAAATTAGAGGATTTATATAAGTAAATCAAACAACAGTTGTAGGAGAAAGAGTATTTAAACTCTTTTAAGAAAAAAAAATATTTTCAATTCTTTTTTTGGAAATATTCTGCACATTTTTCTGTTTAAGGCGTAAGAAGTCTGTATGACTCAGTATTGGCTGCTACAGGCCAATAATTCCAGTGTTATACACTTACTGTTATACAGTCCATATAACCGATTTAATTCTTTTTTGCAACATTTAAGATGATCCTTTTATTTTTTTTTGGTGTAAATAAAAAGTACACATAAATTGCAGTGTATTTGCATAAAGCAAATTATCCTTTTCATCAACCTTTACCACTCTATTTTTTTACAATAGACTTGTCCATCTCTTTCAGTTTGGGAAAAAACATTCATCTTTAGGAATTTGTTTTAAAATCTTACCGGACTGAATAGTGAAAAAGTACTGATAATGATCAGAACACACAGATGTGTGGGCTGATCTTATATCAGCACTGGTCACATGGGCAGAACCTGTTGCTTCAAGCAGGCCTTGGATTAATGTGACAAACCTGCAATTTTTCGGACACTGAGAGAAAAACAACACTAGTTTATTGCAGCAGGGGTTTGTGGTATTTTTTGACAAATCAAATTCTTGGCAGTTGTTTTCCTTTATAAAAGCACCAATCATTTGGCAATTGTTTAAAAAAAAATATTATGCCAAATGTTTCTAAATCTCAAAGTTCTCTGATGTTAAAGAAAATAACAGGTTTTATATCATTTTGTGTCATTAATTTGAGTTAATAACAGTGCATTAGGTTGCTTTATTAAAAGCCAAATGGAAATCCTATGAACTAACATTGTGTATTTATTGTAGAATGATTCCAGTCGAAAATGAAGCTTAAGTTGAAATACTGTCAACAGGTTTGGGCCTTTACAGAAAAAAATCTTAAAAAAAGTCATGATAAAATTGATAACAAATATCCTTAAAATATCTTAATATCTTTATTTTTATAAAATCAGACGAGCTATTTAAAACTGCTAAAGTGTTCCAGTGTACATTAGTCATATTAACAAGAAATAAAACAAGATAATAAATCATTAGCAAGTCACAAAACCCAATATATGTTGGCAGAATCTTTCATATTTATAACACAGGTATTTTACACATTAACATGGCATATTTACATAAATATAACAACACTCTACACACAAAATGTCGGGACACCGGACATGACAATTTCCCGAAATTCCTGTTTATGTAAAAAAAATTTTACCCTACCCAACAATGCTATATTTTCTATGAAAAAGATGACATTATGTAATGCAGGATTTAATTCATTTGTTGACAGTTGTTACCTAGAACCCCATCCCAGGAAAATGAAAGTGGAGTGAGATAATGGGAAAAGTTTTTAGTTTCGGAGTCAATACTGCTACACCAATGCGTCAGTTTTGGGGTATTTAGAAATTTTCCACAGGGTGGTTCTTTCACACACAGGGGCTTTGCTTTGATGAACTAAAGGTCAGTCGCTCTCGTATTCCCCGGGATATGGGTCTCTGTGTATACATTGAATTCATGTTTACAAGAGGAAAAACCTGTGGACAATCATAGCAGTACCTTTCTAACAAAGGTTAAATCAACAGTTGTAACTTAGGCTATAAAATTATAAAACTTATTCAACTACAATGCACAATGTACTTATTCTTATAGCTTTAAAATAGTGTTGTGTGAATTTTCCTTTCCTAAGCTATTGATATTACAACAAAAAATTCTTAACATATTTACATACCAAAATGATTGTTAGATTTTAAGTTGCACAATTTTTTTCAAATTTCCAGCTTTACTAGTGGAGGAAGACCCTAGATTTCCTCCGTGCATTATTTCAGGCACTAGTAGGAAGGAACCTGAGAAGAACAACTAACAAGTTAGCATAATAGCTTCCTCACATGAAAAAATCTAAAGTGCCTCATGGGGTTCAAACCCAGAATGTATGAATTCATTTTATTTTACCTCTATCCAAAGGGCAAATTGTACTTTTTACAATTTTAAACATATTTTGGGTGGGTTATTCAGACTTAAAGAAAGACAACGGTACTTAAAATAAATATAAATGAAGGGTATACTACAAAATTATGGTAGTTTTTTTCTTTAGGTACAATAAGTTACAGTAGAGTTGCTTTGACCCTTTCATAAACAAGCATTATACACTTATGTACCACGAAAACTGTAAGAACTTTCTTTTCAGCAAAATTTCCAGGAAACATACAGTCTTATCAGGTATGTGCAGGGTGACTGGCTTAACACTTTTAGGATATGCAAGTCAATTTTCCTGTTATTAAAGTATCAAAGATAGTATTATTAATAATAAATAGTTACCGAAATTCATTATGGGTATAAAAAAAGTATGACTTCACATGCAACCAACCTATCTCTTTTCCCCACCTGGAACAGAAATAGCCTTTGCCACCAGTATAGTGCCAGGCCAGCCTCTATTACTGTCTGACCAGAGTCTATACTGTTGGTAGATTGAATTTTCATCTTGATATTCCCAAAATTGACGATGGACAGTTCCAAATGTTGACATAGGACAGTTTCAAAAATTGGACAAGTCCATTTAAGACATTCAGCAGGTTAATTATAGGTGTGAATGTTAATGGTAATAATGTAACATCTCTAGTTTCCTAACTCTGTGTTAATGTCGAGGAATAAATTAAATTTTGGAATGTTCAGTAAAAATAAAGATTCATGACCTATTTTAACTAATAGAATCTTTATGGTATGGTGGTGTTTAAAGAATATTTAAATGGTATGGTAATGTTTAGCAGAAACAGAGACTGTATATAGGTGACTTCTAACTGTATGGTATGGCAGAGATTATTTGAACTGATAATCAATATAAATCATTACTCTATCTAATAAAGATGATCACAAGAATGTTCTTGGAAAATTCGAGTCTAGAATATGGAAAAGGTACAGAAAATTATGTTAATGTTCACTCATGGAAATAGGATTTTAGCCCATAAGAATGAAATGCTCAAATATCCTAGAAAAGGTAAAATATTCATCTAAAATTCTCAAATATTCAAATAAACTGCTGAAATATTCCTAACATATGCTGAAATATTTTAAAAACATATCAAATGTTCTGTTAACCTTATGAAATATTCCAATAACATAATCAAATACTCTAGTAACAGTATCAGATATTTCAATCACATATTATAACAATACATTCAAATATTCCAATAACAAGTTTAAATAATGCATTCCAATTTTCCAATACCACTTTCAGATATTCAAATTATATATTCAAACAATATATTTGAATATTCCAATAACATTATCAAATATTCCAATAACATATTCAAATAATACATTCAAATATTCCAATAACTTTACCAGATATTCAAATACTCTGGTGAGAAACTGCTAATATCAGGAATTCCACAAGATTCTTCTTGAATATTCCATGAGATACTCAAAATATTTATTCCAGAAGATGGAAAAATAAATAAAAGTTTTTGCTATAAAAATGTTCAATAACTCCATGAAAAACTACACTATTGCATCAGATATTCACTTATTCAATGGGGTGCTTAAAGTAATATACATATATGCTGTTAATGTAAATATTCATATATTCCAATAGAAACTTATATCTATTCCATGAGATACTCATATAGTTCAGGAGATACCCTTACATCCCAAAATAAACTCATATATTCCAATAGAAACTCATATTAATTCCATGAGATAGTCAAGTCATATTCTATTATGTTTTTTCTCAATGGAAAATACTCATATATTTCTATGAGATACCCTTATATTCCATAATAAAACTCATATATTCCATGAGGTGTCCATGTATCCCATAATTAAGTCAAATATTCCATGAGATGCTAAAGTAATATATGAGCCGCCTAACGCCAAAACCAACATAATGCGTTTGCGACCAGCATGGATCCAGACCCATGGTGTAAGCTATCTGTTTTTCTACTTGTAAAAGGGTTGGTAAGCGAACAGCATGGATCCTGATCAGACCGAGCGGATGCGCAGGCTGGTCTGGATCCATGCTGGTCGCAAATGGACTATGTTGGTTTTGTTGTGATGCGGCTCAAATTTATTAGTATGCTGTTGTCAATGGAGATAGTCTTGTGTGCTGGAGAAGGCACTGGAGGCAATGCCGGCTTTAGACATCAGTTTCATACATTCTGTTGTCTGGGATATCACAAGTTCAAGTGGAGGCTTGTTAGGTAAAGCATATGACTCTGAAATAAAAAGAACAAGCATTTATCATAGTATTGCAAGCAATTCATAAGTCCCCTACCGGTTAGAACCCCAGCAACATTCTGATGGGCCATTGGCCATTCAATTTTACCAGTGAATGAATGACATAAATGAACTTAAATCTTATGAGTTCTAAGTTTGTCTATATCACAGTAATGTGTTAAGTTTCCCTGCCTAGTAAGGAAATTATGTTTATACAACCTTGTCATATTATTACGATGTGGGATTTTAAAGTAAATCCTATAAGGAATGAAGAAGTTGGAGTAAAAAATACCAATTTCTCGAAAAAAATCAAGGGGGACATAATTCTGGAAATAGTCTTGCTAGAGAATTTAACCTTCTCAAAAATGTTGAAGGATAATAAGAAACATATATATGAAGTTTGAAGTAGATACATTAGGAAATAAAGAAGTTATTTAAAAAAGGCAACATTTTTTTTCCATAAACATTCTAAGTTCAAGGGAGGTAATACTGATAATTTTTGTGCTAGAGTTGTAAACCTTGTCACATATGATGTGGTTGATGACCAGAAACTTATATTTAGAGTTTGAAGTAAACACCTTAAGAAATAAAGAACTTATAGTGAAAAAGCTGAAAAATTTAAATCAGAAATCTTGAAATTCAGGCTATTTGTTGCCATAGCAACCAGAATTTTCAACAAAACAATAAAAGAAAAAGACGTGCATAATCTCCATACTGCCATCTATCCATATATCAAGTTTCATAAAAATATTTTAGTACTTTTTTCGTTATCACGGGATCCAATTTTGTGGACGGACAGACTGACGGACGTTCCAACATTTTGGCTTTAGGGGCTATTTTCTTTGTTATTTTCTTTGTTTTCTTAAGGGCTACTAGCCCCTAAACCCTTTGATCATGGAATGAACCTATTTTTCTCTTTACTGTTATATAACCCCTAAACCCAAAATGTTTGCTCGGTCAGACAGACGCACGGAGGGAGGGTAAACCTAAAGTCCCCTCCGGTTAAACTGGTAGGGAACTAATAAATCAACATTTATTTAGGTTTAACCCTTAGTTTCTTTATTTATCAAATGAACTTGTCAAGATTCCATTTTTTTTTTTTGGATTAGTCTGTCATCAATTAAGGAACAACAATATAGAGCCTGGTCAGACTTTGCAGACATGAAGCAGATAAGTAATTTACTTCTTACAACATGATTTATTGCATCATTAATGATGTCAAAATGGAATGCTATTAATTTCAATTTTTTGACTGTGTTTTAAGTAATATATTGCAAGCTTTCCAAGTGTGAACTGTTGTAGGAAAACCACAGATGGGCTTTTAATGCCTTGATTCAGACACAATCAGACACCTGCGTAGAAACACCAACGTTCCAACAGCTACCTGGAGAGCTTCCAAAAAGTCCTTTACCACTTATTTGATTAAACAAGAGAAAATTGCAAGTTAGGATTACAACCTTTGGTAACAATACAACAGACTGGTTAATAAATCTAAATTTTTCAACAGACTGGTTAACAAATCTAAATTTTTTTTTTTTTTAACAGACTGGTTAACAAATCTAAAATTTTCAACACACCGGTTAACAAATTTCAATTTTTTTTCAACAGACTGGTTAACAAATCAATATTTTTTAACAGACTGGTTAACAAATCTAATTTTTTTAACAGACTTTGTAACAAATTCTAATTTTCTAAACATCAGTTAAAGGAACTCCACTGAGGTTTATAAGCCTAAAACACAACATTTTAATTTTTCACACAGATAAACATGAACATAAACATTAAACAGAAATATAAATAAAATATAACTAAGAAATATACAAGAAATACATTGAAAATCATATGTTTGTGCTATTCTCAGTCCTATTTGAGTGAAAAGCGTTTAAACGCTTTTCAATTTTGGGTCATTTTACACTATTATAATAATTATTCTGGAAAAACGGAGGGAGTTAATGATCTGAAGTTTGGCACATAAGTTATTAGAATAGATCTACATCAAATGGAGTAATAATCTGAAAAAAATATTTTCAGTCCCGTCAGTAAACCTCAGTGGAGTCCCTTTAAGTCATATAAAGTGTAAGAGATAAAAGCATATACAAACCTAGAATGGCACTATTTAAGGCCGCACATACAGGTTCTCTCTGTACAGGCTCTAATTGAGCACCTACTGGACTTGTCCAAGGATCAGAGTATGCTAGTAAACTAAATGCATCCTATATAAATAAAACAAACATTCAATCATAGCTCAAATATGGTACAAGTTTATGATCCTAGGATGTTCATTTAGTATTTATCAAACATCAACTAGCACTTTAAATAGTACATTTTTACAGATACATAATTCACCCGCAGGGTAGATTGCCTTTGCTGCAACTGTGTAGCCTATTTAAATAAAGACTTTATTATTATTATTATAGTAATGATAATTGGAACAAATTCTGAAGAAAGAAGATCAACTGAGAATTCAAAATAATGAAAATAGCAATAAGTAAAACTGCAGACCGACTTAAAACATGTTTATAAGTTTATATAATTCAGACCTGGACTGCATTTCATAGTAAGTCCTAAGTGTATCCCAAGTCTAAGGACTGTAACCAACTTTAGGACTAAATTTAGACCGTTCCAATACACATTTTTTACCTTTAGTCAAAGATTTAAGTCGTTAATTAAATTCACTGTCCTGAGAAAAGTTAAGACACTTTAATTGTCAATATATTAATGTTCACCTGCATTGTAATACAGAAATTAAAGGAGTCATAACATAGGAATGGTAAGTTGTGTCACTTGCTTTGAACAGCAAAACTGTCAAAGTTTTGGTCTTAAGACTGATTTCGGATCAAGGACTTTCTATGAAATGCAACCGTGAAAGTGTACTATTATCTGAACTTGTACCATTTAAAGCCCTGAAACTTAAAGCTAGCTTATAATTTTTTTGAAATATACTAAACTAACTGGAAAACCATATAGAAATCTTACTTCAAAACAATATTAATCAGGTATTGAAAAATACTTTAAGAGTCACTCCTTGCAGGACGAGTAGCTTCTAAATCCAATATGCAGACAACATTTTTCTACTCATCCTGCATTAATTTCTCTAAAACTCTACTCTTAATTACGAGTGGACGAGTGGAGTTTTTGATCTCTGTTAATATAATATGTAGCCACTACAAACTACCAGATTTATAAATAAATGAAAGGTAAAAACATGGGTTTACCATCAGTATTAAAGTCAGTGCCCCTGGATTGGTTCTTGAGTAGCAGGGTTAAAAGTGACTTGTGCATTATAATATCACTCTTACCTTTGTCCTGTCCACTTTGTTATGTCCACTTACAGATGTAATATGAACAGTACACATACCTGTAATTGCTTTTTGTTGCCTTCATTTTTGCCAAACTCTTTTCTCAATCGTATGCTCATGGACTGTAATTCTCTACCAAATTGCAACATTTTTTCTATGGCTACCTGAGACCCTCCACATAGTTGACGCTTCTGAGATGGTGGGTCAATTTCTACAACAAAATAAAATGTTGATAAAAATCATCTTTAATAGTTATGTGCAGGCTAGTCTGGCTTTATGCTGATGGTGAAAGCTTAGCACCTCCACTTCCAACAGTTTAAGGGGTTAAAATTTTGTTCCTGAATTATCAAATGATTTATGCATATCAATTAACAGTTCCAAACTCACAGCAGGGAGATAACGTAAAACAAGGAGAGTATGTAAGGAAATAAACATTACAGTGCCACCTCTGTAGAGCTACACCCTTTGGGAGGTAAAAACTTTGATTATTGTTGAAGGGCTTTTACTTAAAGGGACTCCACTGGGGTTTAAATGCCTAAAAACATAACATTTGAATTTCTTACATAAATGAGCAGGACACTTTAAACAGAAATATATGCAAAGATAGTTAAGAAATATACTTAAAAAATAAATTGAAAATTATATTTTTATGCTTTTCTAAGCCCGATTTGAGTGAAAAGCGTTTAAATGCTTTTCATTTTGGGTCATTTTTTTACAATTTGAATAATTATTCTAGAAAAACGAAGTGCGCGTATGATCTGAAATTTTGCACAAAGATAAGTGTCTAAACCTACATCAAATGGTACATTTATCTGGAAAAAAATATTTTCTGTCCCATCATGTCAAAAAAACCCTCAGTGGAGTCCCTTTAAGAAAGGTAAAATTCATTGTGAGGTTTTACTTTTAGGGAGAATTTGAAGTTACTGTAAAAAAAGAGGGCCACAGTGCATAGATTATACTGTAACTTTCATTCTAATTTGCTTTGATTGAATTCGAGCTAAACTCATACTAACACAAGGTCTTGGAGCAATTTTCATTACCCCTTAAAGTTCTACGATGTATTTTTTTAAACTATAGTTTAAATATGTTGATGTCTAGATGTGTCTGTATATATCAGAACTGAAATTTTTTTAAGCTAGCAAAATAATTCCATACAATACAACCACTGTGATACTGATTTTGTTTTGTTTGGTTTTACGGAGCATCAACACAATATAGGTCATATGGTTCCGCAAAAGGAAAGATAGTTTTAGCTAACCTGGGGTGTTACAAACTTATCAAAACCACCTCACAAGCTGGAGCTAAGAGATGCATAGACACCAGAAATTTGAACCCATTTAGGTACCTCTTACAATCACATAGGGATAAACTGTGGCTGACATTCTGACGCCTCAACCTTCAGCCACAAAAACTACAGTGCTGTTTCATTTCCAAAATGAGATCAGGCTTCACAATCAGGCTTCACCATTTTTTTTGGGCGACATCAGTACTGGTTGATGCAGTATTTTTGTTTCATAACAAAACTTCACTAATCTCAGCTTTTAACCAAATAAATACAGTAACAAATGATAATTTGACCAATAAATAATTTATGGATATTGCCTCTATTCTGTATACACATTAGAGTATTATTATCAGTTTTCACATTTGAATTATGTACTAAATTTTAAAGTACTCACCCATATCATCATGTTTGTCAGGCTGACAACTGTTTCCATTCATGTATTGTCCATTAGCAGAATTACCATTCGTTACAACACCGTTAGCTTCCTCTTCTATCACTCCATCCAACATTTCTATATCCTCAATAAATCTCGTGTCCGATCCATTTAAAGTAACACTGTTTGAATTGGAATTGGCTGAATTAACAGTGTTCATATTTTCCTCCGATATAGTTTTCAAGTCTGACTGGTTATTTGAACTGTTGCTATTGGTTACACTGTTTGTATGGGCGGGGTTTAGGGCGGGATTTAGGGCAGGGCTAGAATTGGAAGTTTGAGAATGAGTCTGAAAGTTTGAGTGTGATTTAAGAGTTTTTGTTCTGTTTGGACTACTGTTCCCTGAGTTAGTTCCCCCGCCCAGCGGATTGACCCTGGACGGGTGTGTGTGATGGATTGGGCTGCGAGATGGACTAGAGCGGTTACTACCCCCGTGCTGAGATCTAGGACTCCGTAGTGCCGCACCTCGTACCTCACTGTCAGAACCGTTCACCATTTCAATAAACTGTCTACATTTCAGCATGAATAATAAATTGGTGTTCCGTTCCAGTAAACCGGGATACAATTGTTGTGTAGTTTCTATAGCTTCGCCCATACGTCCTGCTAATACTAACTTTGATATTCCTAAAAATAAATATACAATTTTACATTCAAATTCAAAACAAAGTGTAAACATGTCCAATAATATCTGGCCAAATAAAACATCATCATAATCATTTAGAAATCATATAAATTTTAATATCATAAATCTATACCAAAATATAAATAGAATATTAGTAGAGAAATTATGCCTGCATATCTGTTTTTGTTCTCAATTTCTTGTCCATTTAGACTATGTTACACACAGTTCAAGCAATATTTCATTAGTAATTTGCCCAGAATATTTGTTTGTTTGATTGGGTTTTACGTCACATCGACACAGTATAGGTCATATGGGGACATTCCAGCTTTACTGGTGGATGAAGACCTCAGGTGCCCTTCCGTGCATTATTTCAGGCACGAACAGGCACCCGAGTAGGACCATCGACGTTCCGTAACATATCTGGATAGCTTCCACACCTGTCGGGATTCAAACCCACAGAGGTGAGGGGCAAGTGGTTTGAAGTCAACGACCTTAACCACTGTCCAGAATATAATTTATGAATATTACCCTTATTGTTTTATACATGCTTAACAATTACTTAAAATATTTTTCAGTTTTCCTTTATTAACATCGGATTAGTTATACTTTATCCCTTTAACTTTAAAGTTCCCCCTATGTAGTTTAATCACTCTAATTAGAATAGAAAATACTTTGTCTGTTTTTAATGGAAGCTATTTCTTCATCTATTTGTTGGCCTGTAGATTTGGCGAAAGCTTCAGCAGTGGCACAGTAACCATGGTGAACCAGGTATGTTGAGACAATACTGAAATATAATATCATATATCTGTATGACTATAATAGCTGTGAGACATTTTTAATGGGAGCAAGTGATGGATAAAATAGATTCATAATGATGTACAATGCATAAACTGGTTAGTATGGGCATTAGATGCACAACAATTACCAAACAGCCTGAAGAGAGTAAAATAGTATCAATGTCAAATATGAGATTCTACTAATAAATTTTCTCTGAAATTTTTAACACGGGGGTAGAACCCCATATGAATCTCAAAACTGAGCATCAGAAAAAAAAAATTTATATGTGAATGTGATAAGTTTTCAACATCTTAAACATTTATATAAAATTCAAAGCTTTTTTTAAGAAAATCGAAATGTGATTCTACCCTCCTGGCTTTCCTCTATATTTACCCATTTTTGTTCGGATTTTGTGCAGTCTTTATCGAGATATTCTTTCCGTGGTGTTTTTTGTTGTTGACTTTTTGTTGGGCTTAACATTGCACCAACACAGTATAGGTCATATGTTAATTGGTGGAGGAAGACTTCAGGTGCCCCACGGTACATTATTTCAGTCACAAATGGGCAGAATGAGTCGAACCACAGACTGTCGGTAAAATAGCTGGATAGCTTTCTTACATGTAGAATCCAACAATGCTTGCGCAGCTCAAACCTACAGTGGGGAGAGCCACGTTATTTGAAGTCAAAAACCTTAAGCACTCGGCCATGGGTGCCCTTTAAACCAAACTAAACAGACCGCAGCCTAAGTTAATAACAAAGTGGAGCCAGTCCTGTATCAAGGTTAACAGACTGACAACATGTTTCTGGGTTTATATATCATGAAGACAGGAAGGATGATTGTGTTTTGGCTATGACAATATTCTAGAGAACTGAAATAATACCTCTGTAATGCAGTCTGCCATTCTCCTTTCTTATCATTGACAGGAAATCTTTCAATAGTCAACCTTGTCTTCATCTTCCATTCCTGCAATAACAATATCATACATTAAATACACTGTTTATCTTAACTTACAATGCTCCATATATGTTTAGTTTAAACATATTTATTTAAGGTTAACTGTGAAACAAGTTCTTGCAACTTATATTAATCACTTTCGAGTCCGCTTCCCAGAACCAACCAGTACTGGTGTCATATGAAGAAACATGGTCGTTTCCTATTAGGGCTCCAATCCATGATCCAGGGGTTGAGAGATAGACACCTTAACCACAACGTCTACCCTAGCCTTTTTATCTTTTACTGTAGTGACTTCATATTTTATAATACACACTGTTTTTTAAACAATATATACGGACACATCTTGAAGTAACTGTTATTATACTAGTGCATTACATCGATATAAACATGTTCAATGTCTAATATGTATATTTTCAAAATCAATGAACAAAGTTTTTCAAAATCAATATGAATGATATTTATTTTCAAAATCAAGGGACAATATTTTTATTATATAATAAGGTTTTTGTATCATATAAATCAGTTTTAAATGTCACAGTGTGAGAAAAATGTGCTGCCTGCCAGGACCCATGAAATTTATTTCAGCAGCTCTACTGACTGAGCTATCAGGCTGCTTAAACATCTTCTCGACTAAATAGTAAACAGTTCTAAAACCTGACATAATAATGTTGATTTGTATATATCGAAAATTACCTTCATATAGTCATCAATATCATAAACAAAAGGGGTGTGTCCAAAGTTAGCCTCTACAACTTCCCCGGGTGTCTGTAGACCAACTGTTGGGTATAGACCATGCTGAAATAAACATGAAACACATTTGAGCCGCGCCATGACAAAACCAACATAATGTGTTTGCGACCAGCATGGATCCACAACAGCCTGCGCATCCGCGCAGCTTGATCAGGATCCATGCTGTTCGCTTACAAACCCTATTACAAGAAGAAAAACTAATGGGCCTGATCAAACTGCGCGGATACGCAGGCTGGTCCGGATCCATGCTGGTCGCAAATGCATTATGTTGGTTTTGTCGTGACACTGCTCTAATGTTATTTCACTTATTTATATTACAGTACTGCAATTTTTGTAAAGTCAATTTTCATTGGATAATTGTGACGTTTACATTATGTATATTTTTCCTCAGATAAAAGAATTGTGCTAATGTAAAAACTTTTGACATTCATTAGAAGCTGACAAATACATATATAAATAAAACTTATCAATTTACTGCTGGACAAATGAAACTGAATTATTCTTGCAATTAAATAGCCATGTATTCAAAATGATATATGCCACTACAAGATGACACCTGATAATTTATAAATTAAAACATGTACTTACAGGTAAATCTGTAAATGCTATTCCTGAAAATGAAAAACAAAAAATATTGGTATCAATATTTCCTCAATCATTAAAATGTCCTTAACACTATAAATTCTTAGACATTCAATTTTTTTTTGCTGTATATTTATTAACCCAAACTCTGGCTGCTGTAACAGAAAGTGATCAGCTTTAGCCTCCAGTATAGAGCTAGGGCACAGCCTGTACATGCATGCCATCTGACAAGGCTCTACACTGTTCAATCACCAACTTCACAAATTTTCATCTAAGAATCCCTTATATTGATAGAGGACAGTTCCAAATTTGAATACTGTATTATACACTTACAACAACCACCTCATTTTTTGGTACAGTTTTAGTTATCATCACACTGGTATGAACGAATGGACTTTAAGGACAAAGGGACTTTCTGTATAGCACTGGTAGAACAGAATCATGACATTCAGAAACCTGCGTTTGTTTGTTAATTTGTTTGGTTTTAAGTCACAACAAGACTTTAAAAGGTCACATGGTAACTTTCCAGCTTTACTGGTGGAGGAAGACCTCTATTCAGATTATTGTCTCTGTGTGCATTGTTTCAGGCATGAGGGGGCACCTGAAAAGAACCACCGACATTCCGTAAGCTTGCTGGATAGCTTTCTTACAAGAAATAATTCAAAGTCCCTAGTGGGATTTGCATCCACAACAGTGAGGGGCAAGTGGTTTCTAAATTTGGAATATAATATATAACTTACCAAGATGGACACCATTCTTCGTATAGAAGCATGTATTATCTATAAGATTAACACAGCAACCAATCACATCTCCTGTAGAAAATGTAGGACCATACGGCTCCCCTTGACCAGATGAACAGAAAGAATTACCATCATCTCCATGGTAACCGTATGACTGTTTATCCCAGCCTGATGAAATATAGAACAAAATTTAAACTTACTCAGTCTCAGGTCAAATAAACTTTATCATAAAATTGATCAAAAAGCAAATCCTGCACTTAAGTCAGATGTTGGGTGACACAGAACCAAGCAATATTACAGTAGATTTTTATTTACAGGTACATTCGTGAATGATTTAATGTATACCCTACTAATGGCAACTGAATCTACATAATTATGTTACCAGTGCAGACCAAGATCAGCAGGCACATCCATGCCGTCTGATCATGATCTGCACTGTTTTCTATTCAGACAGTATACATGTACTAGGTATATATTATATTTCTAGCCATAAGAGAATGTAAAATAATTTTCCTACTAGCCATTCATGTATGAAATTTTAAGTTATAATCTCTAATTAAGATACCCCTGATTGCTAAAATTTTAGGAAACCAATCAAATCATAATTTGGACAGATCTTTATGGCATATTATATGCTGACAAGTTATTATTGATCGAGACCAACAATTTACATCCAGGCATTCAAAACAAACACCACTCCTATTCAATAATACAGGATTACAAACTTTTCTGTTACTCTAACCCATCCCTGATTACAAGTGATGCTGTTTTGTAACACTAGGATGTAATATAGAAATTCAATAATAAAGTCCTGAATAAAGAAAATGGTACCTGGGAGTCTGTTTTGATTTACACCCTGTGCAGCTAGACCAATACCCATATACCTGTAACAGAAAAAACACAAAGATTCTGTAAAAAAAAAAATTTTGAAAAAACTAAAAACAAAAACTCAAAAAACCCAAACAAAACCAGGAAACTGGATCTTTGTACATAACAATTTAACCAGGAAACTGGTTCTTAGTACATAACAATTTCACCAGGAAACTGGTTCTTGGTACATAACAATTTAACCAGGAAACTGGTTCTTAGTACATAACAATTTAACCAGGAAACTAGTTCTTAGTACATAACAATTTAACCAGGAAACTGGATCTTAGTACATAACAATTTATAACATTTTTAAAACACCTTTAAATTTTATTACAACATGTATAGTTTTATATTCATGCAGGAACCAAATCATTGCTGGCCTGCATTAACTCTGTTAGAAAAATGTAATGAGGTCACTTCAAAACAGTAACCAAGATCTACTGGTGACACAAGTTCTGTATAAAATGTGTTGAGAATCATGTTAGAGATTGAATTGCTATTGTGCAGACAAACAAATTGTAGATTTATATGTTGACATCAATTCTGAAATTCAAGAGGCTTCAATATTATTAAGAATTTTTTCATTTTTATTGGAAAACCATTTTTTTTTATTCCATAAAAAAACAGAAACAAAGGAAAAAAACATTACTTCATTTGGAAATAATTCAGAAACAAGGAAAAATCATTTATTTTATTGGGAAAAAATTCAGGAAAAAAGAAAAATAATTTATCTTAATTGGGGAGAATTCAAAAACAAAGAAAAACTCTAGCAAGACATATTCAGACAGTCATAATTTCTACCTGACTTGAATCATATACACAGAAAGCCACACATTCCCAAAAGGCAAGATAGTATTTCACCTAGAGATGACTGTATATAATATATATTGCAAAAATTGATTTACCACTAGGAATGATCATTCCCAGACTACTATTAGAAATTGCTAATTTTACACATTTAAGGTAATAAACAAAGCACAGTTTGTCAGTTTAACACATAAAAGATACTAAACAAAGCAGAAACCTGGCATAGACTGGCCATACACTATGATAACATCTATACACAGCACTTCAATCAATAATTCAATCATCAAAATAAAACCATCCTTATAGGCAAACATAAATTGTTTCATTTTCCTGATCAAACAAAAAACAGAATGTTCAAAGGATAATTTCTCTGTTTCAGTCATTCTTTATTCTGGTTTCAGTATAGGCACATCATGATAATTTCTTTTACAGTTGAGCTTTCTAGGAAATTATTTTGATACTTGAGAAGATGGACAAGTTCATTTAAGATATTTAGCTGATTTAACTAAGGCTTAAATTTTCATTTACAGTACTTGTTGCATAAAGAGATATATTTACATTTTACAAAAAACAAATTCTTACTTTTCCCACTAAAACAGTATTATACATAATTTATTAGTTTGGCAGCAAAAAACATGTTTCATAAAATCTGAAAAAATTCTACCATTTAATAAAAAAACAACCAACATCTGCATATACATCAATCACTGTAAGTAAATGCCAAGGAATTTTCAGCTTTCACTTTAAACAGCATAAATACTGATTATTTATTTTTGTTCAAATCAGACATTATAAAAATTTGATGTGTTTAGATTGTCTAACATAGAAAGGTCCCATGAGATCAATGAAAACAAACATTAAACATAGACTGCACACTTCCTTCAATAAAATGTGTCTATCTAAGCTGTACAACATCACCCACACAATCCCTTGTTTGTGTACACTAAATATTAGGTAAATAACACACCTCTCAAACTCACTCCAAGCTGGCCTTGATACTAACAACCAAACTAATTATTATGGTTAAATAATGATGCACACACAATGTGAATACCAGTTAATAAACCACAACCCCATCCTTCCTCCCCACCCCCCATAATAGAAGTACATGTAAAAGTGTAAATAAATGCAAAAAGACGCCATGCCTTTCCAACTACCTCCCTCAGATAATGACAGAAAAAACAGATACAATAATGATATGTAAACACAAACTGACTATTACAGTATTCCAAATTAACATAGAACACAAACCTGCCTCAAACTTCAAGCACCCCCCCCCCCCCCCATCTTGGAAAATACACACAAACACACACTTGTCTTATCAGCAGTATAAATATTGGCAATGCAACACATGCCACACCCCCGTTACACCCTCCCACAATCTCATGATACTAAATGACAACAATAAAGTGCATCATCACAATGACATAATAATGGTGTAAAACACAATTTGTTTACCAATTTACGAAGCTCACAAAATAAATAATGTAACATCAAGTTTGTTATAAAGCTGTGAAATGTTATCAATATTCTGTCTCCTAGTGAGCATTCACACTCACATCTGATATGTAGAATTCTCATTATAAATATAAACTTCTATAAACATCCACATGCAACACAATGATCCCTTAAGGGAAGCCGTGGCTTAGTGGTTAAGGTGTCTGCCTTTTAAACCCTGGATCATGGCTTCGAGCCTAAATCGGGTAACAACCATGTTTCTTCATATGACACCAGTACTGGTTGGTCCCAGCAGGTTAACCCTTAACCTATTGCAGTTTTTAAAATGGACTTATCTATCTTCGATTTTTCAGGACTGACCATTATCAATTTTTGGGATATCAAGATTAAAATATAAAGTTTGTCAGTCAACAGTACTGGTTCCAGCCCCATGATGGTAAACAGTACTTGTCAGTAACATAGACATAACATCTCAAATATAAATGTGACATGGATTAGCTACATCAGTATTCGGATGTCTCGACTACACACATAAATAAACATGGAAACATTTGAAAACATTAACTTTGATAACATATTGACCTGAAGTAGGTTTTATTTGCATTATCCACAAATGATCAAACAAATGAAGATGATGTAACACTTTCACCATGTTAGATAATCGTAAATGTTTCTTTTTACAGCAGCAGTGCAATGTGCTGTGTATTGTGATATCATTAGTATCACATGGACTGAATTAACTTGTCAATGTAACTATTCTACAACATATTAGAATGTCTGAAATCTAAAACAAAATGTTTGTTGATCAAGACTTTTGAGTATTTTGCCAGGAATAGAAATTATTTCAAATCTTTTAAATTACAGCACATATCTCAAACACCCACAAAGTTAAGCTAGACACTCTTGACTTCTAAATTTTATTATTTCTTGATGGTGAAAACACTATAGCTTGAAGAGACTGTTCAAAAGTCAATCAAGGGAAAGCCTAATAGAGGGAATAGAGAAATTAATTATCCACTTATAAATTAACTAATTAATTCATCAAAATTTTCTTGCTGTAACAATTTCTTTAGCCAGTCTATTGATCCTGATGAAGAACCAGAAGGTTCAAAACAGGTAGATCTTTATCAAAATATTGTTCATATTTATCTGGTGTTGATGTGTGGTTTCTCAATGTATTCTTCCTTTTCATCCAGTCAATTAAATATGTCACTTACTTTAAAGGGAAGTTTGTTTTGAATTGAAGTTATTTAAATATGAACCACAGAGCAACACAGTGAGTAATTCAGTAATAATTTCTATAAATAAACAGCAATCATTCGTATTTCTATTTTTAGAAGGAAAAAAAACAACAACAAACAAACACACATTCACTTAAAGCTTGTTGAAATAATCATTATGAAATGAATAAGACATTTTCTACCAACAGATCTTATCTCACTTGTATGCAACAGGAGTAAAACAGGAGTTTATTATATATTGTATTTTCTTAATATAGGAACCAGCCTCATCTTTAATGTAATGTGCTGCATGTTGTATACCTGTACAGTGTCAGAAAAACCTGTATTCTTTACCAAGCAACAGGTATATGTGCATGTCTTACTCACTACAACAATAAATACTCCCCATCACTAGATAAAATTTCTATACATATATTATGAGGCTACTGCTACTATAGATCTGAGATGAGAACTGGGAAGTTGTGAGCATAATTATTATATATTATAGTTCTGAGGTGAGAACTGGGAAGTAGTAAACATAATAATTGTATATTATAGATCTGAGGTGAGAACTGGGAAGTTGTGAGTACACACAATATATATTATAGATCTGAAGTGAGAACTGGGAAGTAGTGAGCACAAACAATTATATATTATAGATCTTAAGTGAGAACTGGGAAGTTGTAAGCACAACAATTATATATTATAGATCTTAAGTGAGAACTTGGAAGTTGTGAGCATAAACAATTATATACATGTATTATAGATCTTAAGTGAGAACTGTGAATCTGTGAACATAATAAGTATATATTATAGATCCGAAATGAGAATTTGAAAGATGTGTGTATTACACTTATACACTATAGTATTAACTATTATAATAGATCTAAGATGACAAAACATTATGTGCATTTTACAATCTGTTATCATAAGTTAAAGGTCGGACCATGAAATGGGAAGTTAAATCAACCCATTTTAACACAATAATGACTGAGTCTCAGCGCTATAGATCTAAGATGAGAATCAAACTGGAGGACAAAGATTGTACACGTTTTCATTTTTATCTGAGGCAACAGATGTGTCAATGAAAACAACCAAGTTGGCCAAGGGTCAAGTGGGATATTTTAATCTACAGGATGAACATACAACCCATTTTAACAGCATGTTAACCGATAATAGGGATCGCCAATCTGTTAATGATGAAGACCCTGAGATGAAACCTTGAAAGTTAAGCGTATAAACAATAGTAACAAAGCAACTATTGTCAAAAAATTAAACAATGATATGATAAGATATGACCAGCTATAAATCCAAGAAGATCTCAGACAAGGAATGTAAACAATATAATTATTTACAAATATATACCTCCATATACAATAAACAACATTTGAATCCATGGCAGTTGAAGATATTGAAGATAAGGCCACCACATTTATGTTTTTAAAACAAAGGATGGCAACAAGTCAAGTACTAGATCATTTTTCCAATAAACCACTTGGTTACTCAGCAGATTTCTTAGAACTTTTAATGTGTAACCATTTTCCATCCATCTGCCATTTCTGCCAAACCAGAAGAGCGAAGATGGAATAAGCAGTTTACAAGTGGCCCGAAAATACACTGGTAATTCAATGTCGTAAATGACTAAAAATGATATAAGCAACAGAGTTATTCTGTGAAACTGTTGAGAACCCAGTGTAGACATTACCCAATTGTGAATTTGCAATAAAATTTTCACAGCTCTGCATGAATGTTTTGATTAAAATCAACAACTTTACAATGGTAATTTATCTTGGATTTATCCCAACTAAAAACCAAAATACTGTTTAAACTGTGGTACTTCTATGTGTTTAACTGTTATAGTTAATGTAACTTCCATTTAAGATGCCAATTTGATTAATTTCTATCTATTTTTTGATACAAATAATAAAATACAGTCCATGGCACACAACAAGAGAGTTGGGACAATTATTCTACTTTGTATTGCCATTTTGCTTTTGAAAAGCAAACCTTCTTGCCTTTGCTACAACTTTTTGATATCCTTGAAAACTATCTCCCCTTGTTTTTACTAGGCATAAGTCAATTAAAATTGATAAAACTCATTATTACTAGTTATAATTAGGATATTTTGATATGACCTTGTCATATTTAAATGGTCAAAAATACTGTATATGTTAATGGATGAAAATTGAGACAAATACATTTAAACATGGGGCCCTAATTGCAGATTTAAGTCTCAGTTACAGATCTTTGATGAGAACTTGACAGTAAAAAGTATAAACAATAATAATGACTATATCTGCCAAGTACTACTGTTAGAAAACTTCACACTCAATTATTGGATATTTTCTTCTTGTATATTTCATTTAAAGCTAGCAGCTATGGGTTTTGAAGCTATGAAGCTATTGTTGATCATAATTGAGCAATATGTATGAAAAAACAACTTACTGTTACTTTTCAAATATAGAAGTAAATAAATCAATCCACTGAACGATACCCCAAAATAATCAATATTTCTTTTCTTTCAGATATACTTGAACTATCCAGCAGAAACCATGTTATCATTGTACATCTATACCAATACTTATTATGCTGAATATATTTTTTCATGACACTATGTATTCCCTTAAGAAATGCAATATGTTTGTTATTATAATAATCTTCATTATTGCATTTGTATAGAGACCATAATAAATCAATATATTGTTATATAAATATGGCTAAAATGCATAAACAATAAAAACAAAATGTATGGTAAAGGTTTAAAGCTTAAAACAAATTTTACAAAGGAGTATGTAACTTTTTGCAAGAAAACAATGGCATGGTTTGATTAAAAATGTCAATACCTAGTTATTTTAAGAAACAAACAAAATGTATAAGTAAAATAGAAATTCACCTGTCTCAAATCTGTTGAAAAATGTCTAAATTATCATGAAATTTCTAAAATTATAATCTTTTGACCATGAAGATAAGGATTATGTGAGGGTCAATGACATAAGTGATTTTTTTTAAAGATTTATAACCAAGCCTATTTAATCAATACAGAAACAGGAACCAAATCAATTACATAATTGAATTTACAGCTGAATAATTTTCAAAACAACCATCAGACTAAAACATAAGCCGACATACCATAATACAAATTACCTATAGATCTAATAACATTACTGGCATCAAGATGTTGCCATAATATAATTATAATAATAGCTTTACTGTTTCAATGTATTTCTTGTTTATAAAAGCTTATATAAATTCAAATTCAGCCAACTTCCTTGATTAATGCTTCCGAGGGATCACTTTATTTCCAGATTTTTTCCCCCAACACTTTCATTGTGTAATAATACTTTTGTTGAAGTATATGTATGTCATGATAAGTTGATCACAGACATATCATTATAATTATAGTATAATTATAGTTTAATTCAATCTCGATATTTATATGCTATAAAGTAAATAAGCTCAATTTACAATGATTTAACAGTACCAGTATCAATAACCTGAAGAACATCTTATTATCATATATATGAAATAATTAATACACATAGATAATAAAAATGACATTAATAAAGTGGTTTCCAATAAAATAATTTTGATCATTCCTGAGCCTGGTACTAATTAGATGCATATGTAGGACTGTTTTTTACCCGTATATCTGATTTTGTGCATTTTTTCTTTACCCAGTGGCTCAATGAGGGTTCATCCACCCTTTCAGGCACTGAGATTACGTACCCCTCTGTACCCAGCATAGAAGTTTTACAATAAAATAAAAATACATATTGTATGCAGCATGATACATGGTTGTGTTGTTTTCTGATGAACACACCACACCTTTTAGCTACACTTTATGATAACATTATCATATTAATGTAGGTCAGTCATGTGGTCAGTGAAGTCTGCTAAAGTTGTCTACGTTGATTACACTGCAAATAATCAGTGCTGACCATCAACAGACCATCAGTTTTACAAAAATACATTCAAGCCTTGGCTTAACCTCACCTCCGTTACATACAAAAAATCTGTATTAAATTTTCATTATAAAAGACCAAATTTCTTGTTCATCAAAAGTATAAAGAAGTATATAAATTAACTAAACACTAGCCACTAGTTATCCTTGGGAAATGCAGAGGGGGTATTGTGAGAGAAAAAAAAAACAAAGTTTCACACTAACACTAAACAGGCCAATGTGGTGTTTTTGTTTTGACACAGAAATACAGGGAATGATTTCCATATCAAAATGTGGGGATATAAAGCTGGAATTTTATCAGATGACAGGGCAAATCTTTTAAAACAGCAGATTAAATAATTAGAGTATCAAAGTATAATTATGCTATTCCCTATGAGTAGTATTTTACCAATGGGCAGTGTTTTAAAAACTAAAATTGAAACAAAAGTATAGATCTATGTATAAAAACTCAGACTCTGTGGTCACCAAATAAATATGCTCATCCTTTGACTATCTATAATCACCAATGAAAAATTGAAATGATCGTATTTTGTTAAAGCAGTCATCTATTCAATATAGCTTTAATCACCAGAACTTACCCATCTCTGCCTTTGCTTATGATTTTAACTTCAAAGTAATATATTCCACAAGCTGTGGGTATAGGATGAGTGGCACGTACACTTGCCGCATCTTTGTGTGTCTTTCCTACACCTGCAATTATAACATAAACACTGTAGTATTGAAACTTTTAAATATCTAATTGAACAACTATTCTATATTGCAAAAATAAATTTATTCTAAAACCTATAGTAATTAGTATCATTTTCTCTATATTCATATTTATGTTTACTTAATGTCACGATGATGTTACAGTTTTGTTTGTTGTTGATTTTCATTTCTGATGAAGATGTATTAAAGTTGTAAATAGCAGGATGGGCAATCTCCTGGATTCCCTACATGTATGTATATTTCAGAATAAAACTTGTATATAATACACTAAAGAAAGTGGAATGAACCATAAAATACTCCTGATTTGGACCAAATGACAGAGTATTCTCTCTATTAACCAGTTCCTCCCAGTCCCTGCCAAACAGTTTCCTCCCCTGACATGTTCCCCACCCCCAAACTTGCAATATGCAGACAGTTTTTCACCTAAAAAATTTCTTTTATTTATTAATTCTCATATTTTATAAAGAAATTTTATTAAACATATCATTGTTTTCTAACAAGAGAAATATTGGAAATAGTGCAGGCCAAATATTTCTGTAAATAATATGTAAGAAGACAATTACCAAATTTTGAACTTCAAGCAAGATCTAATCATTATAGAATACTTCATGAAGATTGTTATTTCAATGACTTTGATTGATATTCAGCTAACTTGTTACAAGAATTTTCCTGAAAATCATACTTAAAAAAAGTTTTAAATTATTGAATGATATGTCTATCTATTGAGAAAAGTTGAAGTACTTTTTAACACCTTTTTACTAATCAACACATTTATGGTTAGAGATTAAGGCTGTAGGGTGGTGATTAGATTAAAAACACCTGCAATTATACAATAAATTAAACAATACAGTTCATGTTAAATAATAATGAATCATTATCTCAATTAAATGAAATGTCTAGAATAATTAACACACAGTGTATAGTAATCTGCTAGCAAGATTCTTTTTACCACTAATTCTTTATAAATTAATCATGAACATACACATTTTAAAATATCAAAAAGTGTTGATATACTGATCTATTAAGAAGACTAAAATTGGGGAGGAAAATTCCGCAAATATCATACAAATGCAGACAGTTCTCAGGGAGGAAACATCAGGGAACTCTGGGAAGGAACTGGTATGGGGAGAAATAGTCTAACGTTTAGACCCCCAGGGTCTATCTGAGTCTATTTGAGGAAATAGCTGGCTATCTCCTGGATTTGACCCCTATACAATTTTTTTAATTTATAAAGGGGCATAACTCTAAAAGGATAGCTTTCCCAATAATGGGCCTCTTCTTAAAAGTGAACCTGGTCTTGAAAATCCAGGATATAGACTGTGTGATCGAGTTTGAATCCCACTATGCAAATTTCATCATTCGACATTTCCAGTCATTCAGCAGTTCAAAATTATACAAAAACATTTAAGAAATTAATGTAACAATTGTTTATCATGACTAAAAGGGTTATGTCTTTGTTTAAATAATAAGGGGTTTGACAATAATTGGAACAACAACAACAACCGTCAGCTGATTCATTTCCCAAACAAAGAAATTAATTTTATGTGTTCTATTTTTTTCCATTAATTAGTTATATATCAATACAAGTTCAGGAAAAATCTAAATACCAAACTTTTCATTTACACCTTGTATTAAATTAACCTACTCAGAATTCTTCTAATTGATATATAGATAAGACGCAAAAAGGTCAACTTTGTTGACTGTCTCGTAGTCAAAACCAAAACAAAGTTGTGTACCTTTGTAGTGAACTCTGAGGTTGTTTTGAGAGAGACCAAGGTAATTAAATTTATCCTTAGCACTCCAAGAACGAGGCAAAGGCGTTTCTTCTTCGTTTACAGCCGGATAGAGCTTCTTAAGTCTATCATCGGGCTCCTTGCTGGTCGAGGTTGTCGAGTCACCCGTTCCCGATTCGTTCGAAGCAGCCATTTTCCTTTCTCTTTTCCAACGAATGCCCGGATGTCTTTTCTGGGCGAAGGCAACGTGTTTCAATAACCTTTGTTTTGATTGGGCAATAGTATTAGATTCTTAGCCAACCAAATGAGAACTTACAAGAAGTTAAATATTGTACTTACTTTACATTCTTTATTTTCGATCTTTCGCACTGTGTGGTGCGGCTCACTTGATAATGACGTTCTAAAGTCTTAAGTTTGTTTGTTTGTTTGTTTGACGAAGGGGCACCTGAGTAGAACCACCGACGTTAAAGTCTATAGATATATGTTGAAAGACAGTAACATCTAATTGGTCCCAGTTAAAAGACCGAGTAATCCCTAACTATGGAATATTAATAAAACAGGAACGTACATGGCAGTAAAAATGATAAAAAATACGAAAAGCTATAAAGTAATATGAAAATCGTATTTCTACATTGACTTTCCTCCTCCAAAATACAATTTTAGATACATATATTTTTTTCCTTAACATTTTCCAATAACAACTATTGGCCAATAAATTAACCATTATAACAGTCAATCTTTTGAAATATATAGTCAATTCAGCTCAATTTGACTATGAAAAAATGAGCATATAATGTCATTTTAAAGATTTTAATTTTATCATTAAGTGCTGCAATTCCATAATCACAGTATGTATCCAGATCATCAGGGCTTAATGATGATGTCAAGCTTTGATGATAATATCCGGCTCGAAGTATTAAAAATTATGAAAAACGCTTTTCGTATTTCCACTTTTATCTTTTAATTATCCCAATCTAAATATCGTTTTTGAATGAAATTGTTCTAGGCAATATGAGCAATGTTAAACTGTTTTGCTTTTTGCAAACTGCTCCTACATCGTGGTAAAAAAAAACACAAAAAAGAGATTAGAATTCGACACAGACCTCAAAATTACGTAAATTTCCATCAATTTTGAGGTATTTATGTAAAGAAAATGCAATTTCTAAATCTTAATTGTTCCTCTCTTGGTAAACAATCAGGTCGTGGTAATGCTTTTCTGCAAAAAAATGTCTTTAACCTAACATTTTCTGGAGATGCAAAAGTGAGACGGGTAATCGCTGGATTACTTGAAATATAATCAAGTTTATATATAAATGGCTCAAACTAGAAAATGACAGTTTTTGTCTGTTAAAAATATTTCAATAAATGATTTTTAATCAGTTCTCACCTGTGAAACGACGTTTGCATTCATTCTTTGACCATCGTCTATGTGAGTGCATCAAAATTTCTTTAAACGATGCCTCATCCACTGGACCATTTGAAAATATGTTCATTGGGTGGGGATTCAGATCTAAGATTTATTCAATACTGTCATGGTTCATAAGAACATGTGACATAAAATACAAAATTTTGAACATGTAACAACCAGAACACAGAAAAATATGCATAAAAACACATATTAGTCAAAGTTCTTTCATTTCAAAATTCCGATTTATATTGCAACCAGTGCACATGATAGATTCAATATGAAACGGGAAATGAAATAGATATTGGAAACATCTTTATAAGCGTCTATTCTATATAGTTCTGCTAGATAGATAAAAAAGAAATAACATAATAATAAATCATAAATGACCCTGAAATAATCAATATGTACTCCCTCTAACAAACACATGTTTCAAATTAAAAATAGCTATTTCAAGAACGGTTTGTGATTTGAGTATATAACAATTACACCATTAAGATAAGTTGGCATGAAAAATATTCTTAATTGCTGGAGGTATTAGATCCCTCGTAAGGAATCCTCTATCTTTACTTAAGATCCTGAAATTATATAAATAGAAAGGACGCTTCTATTTGAAAGACCTCGCGTTGGTCTCGCGTTGGCATCTTCAGATAAAGTTTAATTTAAAGTCATTAAAATACAGAATAGCGTTAACATAATATGATTTTTTTACAGACAGAGAATTAATAAATGATCAGAAAGTTAAATTTTATACGGAAATTTATGTAATTTTAAGCACTGGGTCGAAACTCTCCACATTCTTTGGTGATATTCATTCTGCAAAAACCATAGCAGTTTTATATTGCTAATGTTCGCATAGAATTTATGTCAATATTCAATAATGATAAAAAAACGCGACTTAATTTGGCATAAAAAGAATGAAAGTAGAAATATATATACGTTATTTTTACAATTTTCTAGACTTCAAGGCTGCTATTACACTCCTTTCGCAGCTCGGTGAATACACTACCGTTACTTCAAAATATACGGTTATTGTCATCAGAGTCAAAGTCTGGAAACAAAGTGATCCCTCGGAAGCATTAATCCCAACAAAATTACATAAGAATTGCAGACTCGGTTTGATTGAGTCTGTACATGAGGGATAATGAATAAGTGCAACTTCCCTCACGTCCCCTAGCACCGGCTTGAGCGGTACTCAATTCTCAACACTTAATAGTGCTGGTATTCTGGATACATACCGTGATCTCCTCTAATTACAAATGTTTTTATTTACGTTAATTGCAATTCAAATAGTTTTATTATATATAAACTGTGTATTATTCTGCTGGCCATGCACACCAACTGTACATAGAAAGTGTGATATTTACTGTACATGCAAGTTAGTTATCTAAATAATTCATAAGACGTACATAACGAATATATGTATATCTTGCTTTGTACACTTGCTATGGTAGGTGGCGCGATAACTCAGTTTGTAAAACAACTGATTATCACTCCTGAGGTCCCGTGTTCGATCCTGGGTTACACCCTTGGGATTTTTCAGAGACACTTTCAGTGTGTCCCACCTACCTATCTAGAATCCAGGTAATCCTCGCATGTATCAGTGCTATACACTGGGCATGTAAAAGAACCAAGGGGTCTATTCAATAAGAGCTATAGGGACTGGTTCCCGGATTCCATTGTATCTCACATCTGTCTCTATAATGTATACAATGTATACCTGCTTAGAGTGATCGTAAACGATTTTAAAGCAGTATGATGTAGAAGTAGAAGCTTTGTATTTTCACAACTTTATTTTCTTATAATTTGTGGTACTTTCCCATTTATTTGTCTGTATACCTGGAACACTGGTACAAAGAAATAAACGTTAACTTCAGAAATATCAAATTCGTATTTGTTAATAAATTCATATCTATAAAATAAATCTCAAGTTAAAAAACAATAACAATACACACTCTATGCAATACATGTTTAACACTGTACAAGATAAGACGAGCATGACGCATCAGTTTCAATACGGGAAGACAGTCTTCCCAACTCTGACTAATCAATGTTCATGAAGGTACAACAATTAAACATTACGGGGTTACACTCGGTTCTGAACAAAAGGTAAACATAAAAATTCATATTTTCTTTCCGTAAACACTGGTTCGAATTTTATTGGGTACGAAAAAAGAAGTTTATAGTAAGTATAATAATTTTACGACATATTATACAAAATTGAATAAAATTTATGAAATTGCAAAGGAAAGAAATAAATGTGTCTAATATAATTCCATTATTTACCATACTCTTAAAATTCCCCAATCTATTTGCTATTTCATATCTTTATAGTTACCGTAAAGTAGTCCATTTATTTACATTGTCATGACAACATAAATCTTTAGAAATTTCCATAAAATCAGGATTTTAGAAGTTATGAGTGAAGGAAAGCTTGTTGTCGCCAGGCTACCACCTCTAGCTGGGTATATGTTATCAAATTTCATTAAAACTCATTTCTAATACATTTCTAAACCTTTGGGACATGTAATAATGTCGTAGTTGAATAGTACCCGGACACGTTTTTAATATCATTTTCGGATATATTTTAATAACATAAAGTACCATAAACGACAATTGTCAATAGATATCTAATTCAGTATGGTAACGTTTCTACAATGACTTTGAGGATTTCACTAGCTTTAAGTTCCATTTCATGAACCAGATTTTGTACCAAATTCATGTCACAATGAAAAGACAAGTGCCCCCGAATCCAAATGATTAATACACTAATATACAAATCTTCAGTTGTTCTGCGAGTAAAGATAATTGGTTGCATATTTCACTGTATAAGTTGTATGTAAAATGGACTAACATATGGTAGGTTTAACAGTTTGGTGTCAAAATATGTGTTGAAGTACATTCTATGACGAAGCTAAGACCCAAAGCTTTCCATTGGTGTAATAAATTTTAAAATCTGACATCAAAATTGTTCTCAGTATGTGCACTTTGTAATGTTCAGGGCTGCAAATTGCAAAATCTGAGGAAAATACGCGGGGGGCTCAAGGGGGCTGCGCAAGCCCCCTTTGCGGGTCCAGGGCAGAGCCCTGGTGGGGGCCGAGGGTGCGTAGCCCCCATAAGCACCTAGATTCTGATGATTTGATATGCCCTAAAATCAATTTCCTGGACTCTAAATTTGACTTCCTTGGTAGCCTTTAAAGCCATTCAGAGACACTTTAGTTGGACTTCAGGTTTTCATCAGCCCTCAAAACAAATATCCGACATTTTGACGCATTTTGACAACAGACAAGACGAATTTGATTGGTTATTCCAAAATAGAATGCCGGAAAAGACTCAATTTGACCAATGAGAAAAGCGCTTACAGACGTACCATAGGCGGCTAGCGTAACGATAAGAGCTGAAGCGTGCCGGTTTTTGGGTACTGTATAAAATATGAATGAATGAATTTATTGTCTTTGTCGAATTTACATCGATCTTAAAAATGACCCAGGAGCTCACGAAATCTGCGGATTTCCGCGAATCCGCGGAAAATCGGCAACCCTGAATGTTGCAGCCAATATATTTGGCTGTCACATAAAACCTGTTCTACTGGATACCAGTATGTAAATAGAATTGTGTCGTTAATTATTTTTTTCACATAGAAATTGTCAAGTATTATTTTTCATCATCCAAAGTATAGTTCAGCATATAAACATTAAATTTTATTAATTATTAATTTCAATAACTTTTTGTCTTCAGGGCAAAAACCTTTTCACCACGACATGGAGGCAAATTTGAAGGCCTTAATGGACCCACATACAAAATTGGAGGACATGTACATGCATTACCACCTCCAAAGGCACTTAGAGTAAGTTTTATTATCTTCAAATTGATATGAATATAAACAAAAAAGTATATTAATGATAGAAGCTTCATTAATGAATAATAAATGACACACAAGTCATTTTACTTACACCATATTATGAATATTGATTTGACTTATGCTTTGTTATATGTTAAATGTGTCTTGTTATGTATGAAATAATTATATTAGGTGATCACTGTTTGACGAGTTTTGGTCCTAAAACTAAATTACTGATTATTTAGACTAATGTTGACACTCTGCCTGCTTTTTGATATTGTAACTATTTCAGGGAATATGCTTATTTTCATATTAAATACCTTAACATTATGCCATATTTTGCATATCATTTTTTTTTCCTCAATGCAGCCATATGTTGACACAAAGACAGGCGAGCTGGATGCATGGCCGGCTCATGCCAGTGGTCACTCTGTTCCTACTACATCAATGATGATGACCAAGGATAAAAGCCTCGTTCTCGTTAGTGATGAACAGATGGGGAAACCAAACATGATTCCTAAACCAAGATTTCTGGAACAGCTTGAAAATTACCTCAAGAAAGAATTGCGTGCCCTTGATGTGGTAGAAGTAGAACCAAATGAACTAAGATTACAGGTACTAAAACAACCTTAAAGACCTTTCCCTATTTTCCTTATCTTATATAATACATGTATATTTTTACCTTCAATAGTGCTACCACATGTCTAGAACTTTAAAAATGAATTATAGATACAAGAAAATGCTTCATATGAAAATAGATGTAAAAATTATCTAAACTCAACACTTCGAGGTTATGTCGATTTGGACAAGCAATGTTAAGTATTGTTATAAAATCATCAAAACTTAATTATAATTATCGTTTTATAAATACATTTATCATTATGTATAACAGGCACATAGAGAAGTGTTCGAGTACCTGATAGAGGACTTTAAAACATACAAACCACTTTTGTCAGCCGTGAAAAATGAATATGAGATGATGTTTGCATTTCAAAGACAACAAATCCGTGAGCTCGAACCATTAAAGGTGAGTTTAATGATATATTTACTAATTATTCAGGTATCAAAGATCATATCTATAGACATGTCTGCCTCTATAATTTCCAGTTTGCTGGCCAAAAATATTAGGTTGTACATAGATTTATTCTTTGGTTGATTCAGAAGTTACAAATTTTTTTAGTTATCCCTATACTTACTTATAAACAGTCTTAATTTTTTTGATACCAAAATATAAAACATTGACATTCATATTTTCAGAAGAGTGCATTTTCAAATACAGTGTAACCCCTGCAAGATGACCCTCTATTGAGCAATTACCTCTTTACAGCAACAGCATAAAATTTTTCCAAAGATTTCACAACAAATAAAACCTCTCTCCTCACAGCATCAACCAAAATCTTTGTCACCCAAAGGACGCTGCCCTGCAGAAGCTTTTCTATTATAATATAAATTTCGAGCCAAAGAATATTCAAATATTTGCTTTGACCAGTAATCATATCAATATGATAATTGTAATGTACATGTGTTGATCAGGTTTGATGAGTGTTAATTCAATTGATTTGCTATTTGTCAATTATTACCAATAAAACAATATGTAAAGACAGATAAATGAACAGTTTGATATTTGCATTTTCAGCAAATGTTGGTGACAGTATCAGAACAGTGTGACCAGAAAATAATGGGTATCAGAGAAGAGGAGAAACAAGGTAGAAACCATAAATATTAAACCGGCAAACCTGAGTATAATGACCACCTGTGAACAAAGTCTGCCATTATATCCAATAAAAATATGAAAATTTTAAAACCTGTATATTTATTATAATGATCATCTGTGAACAAAGCTTGCCTAACATTTAGAATAATATAAAAAAAGTGATAAAACTTTTTATTATGATCACCTGTGGACAAAGTCCATACATATTTAAGAATACTTGCAATATGAAATATATCAAATCTGACTGTTATGATAACAAGTGAGATAATAATTCATCATATGATGTGCTTTTATAATCAATATCAGCATTTACAATGAATTTTAACTTAAGAATAAAAGTTGCAAACATTGCTGTATTGGTAGCTTTCTACAGATAGGTTTTAGTCATTTCTATTAATAAAGTAATAAAAAAAAAACCCTATTAATTTCAAACTTAAATTTGAACCCTTATACCAGGTGTTAAAACCAAAAATGATTTAAAATCATGGAGCCAGGTGACAGCCTCTTGTTTCATGTTAAATACATTGTTATTTCTAAGATAACTTAAAAATCTTGTATTCTTTAGAAATGGCTGACTTGAAGATTGAGAACAAAAGACTATGCCAGAGAATCGAGGATTTAAAGAATTCAGGTAAAGATTTACAGACCCAGGTATCGAAACTTCAAGACGACCTAGCCAATCAATACAAGTTGTACCGTGATGAGCGAGATGCCCGTAAATTGTTACAATCAGATATCAACGACCTCCGATATCAGCAGGAAGATTATCAGATGTCCCAGAAAAAAGACGATGAAGAAGAGGATGACCCAGTCATGTTGAAAATTGCCCTCAAGTAATTTATTTCTGGCATTGTTTTTTTTGTCTGCTAAGTTGTGTTTTTTAATTCTTTTCTTTTACATATAAAATATAATTATTAATGAATAAGTATAATGTATGTGCAAATTTGTTTAAAGAGATATATGTACAAATACATGTCTCTTAAAAAAAGAAATAGCTCTTTGCATGTCTCAAGATTTTGAAAATTTATAATATTTATATCAGAATTATAAGAGCAGAAAATGTTGATACATTGTATCTTATTATTGCAAGTGGTTCAAATTTAAACAACATAGTACTTTTGCAGTGCCTACGGGTCACTCAAACTCTTGTAACTCTCAGGTCTGTAAACCTTACATTCTAAATACCTACTGACATAGTATGGCAAGCATCATTTTCATTGCAACTAATAAAAAATATCTGAGCCTCATCATGACAAAACCAACATAATGTGTTTGCGACCAGCATGGATCCAGACCAGCCTGCGCATCTGCGCAGTCTGATCAGGATTCATGCTATTCGCTTACAGACCCTATAAAAGGTAAAGAAACTGATAGCGAACAGCATGGATCCTGTTCAGACTGCGCAGATGCGCAGGCTGGTCTGGATCCATGCTGGTCCCAAACCCATTATGTTGGTTTTGTCGTGACGCGGCTCATCTGTTTTGTAGGAAAGCACGAGAAGATGAGAGGTCAGCTTCACAGAGACTCAGTGAAATGGAAGCCAATTATGGTGATGTCATTCCAAGAAGAGACTTTGAAACACTGGAAAAGAAACATATTGTATGTATGACACCAAGATCTTAAATAACAAAATTGCCTTAACCCCTAAAATATGTTGTTTTTTTTGTCAGGGCAGGAACTTGTCAAAATTTTAGTACTTCAAACATTTGTACACTGAAGTGTTAAAATGTTTAATTTTGCTTGATAAAGTTTATGAGAAACATTCTGTTAGTCTGATTCCTGAACTAACTTATGAACTGAGGATATATGGAAAAACATGTCTCAGTCTAAGTCAATCTCAGAGATGCAGACACCTTAACTCTTAGGCAAGCACTGTCCTCATTGTACAGTGGAAACAACTTGTTAAACAACATAAAAATTTGTCATTTTAAATACGTTTTCAGGAGTTGACCCCAACTTTGTTTCGCTTAAAATGTTTCTATTATCATATTCTAACAACATGTCAAGTTTAGAAAACTATTGAAGGGTTTAAATTTGCTTATATGTCTATATGAAAACTCCCAAGTACGTCCTTAACTGTTGATTTAAACAGAAAAGTTGTTTTTCTTGTTACAGGCATTAGAGGAAAGTGTTGGTGTTATACAAGGGGACTTTGATAAACTCAAACAAGAACACGAGTAAGTTGACAATCTGGCCTTAAGTTCATAGTAAAAGTGGTCGTAGAATATAAGCACTGATAAAAAACTTCCTTCATTATAGAGATTATATTTAAAAAATATTATGCCTTTAATAAGTCATTTCTACTCATTTATTATGCAGTTTTAGTATGGCAATGACAAAGATGTGTAACCTTAATAAATATTTTTAGAGCTCTTTTGGAAGTACATAAACAAGTGGTCAAACAAAGGGATGAGTTCTACACAGAGTGTGAAACCCTCAGAAGAAGTTCAACACCAAGGTAAGGTCACGGACCAATTTAACAATAAAATAATTGTGTATCCCCTCATCAGAGTCTAAAATTTAAAACATTTGATATTTCTCGGCCAATCGTAATCCACTTTTAGGTCAATGTTTTTCAAATGCTTTTTGTAATGCAAATTAACATCCAAATATCTCTGGATAAAACGTATTGAATAAATTCAGATATACATGTGTGTGTTCACTTGATTCGATCATTTGATGACCTCTATCATTGATTAAAGCCCCATTTTTCAATATAAATTATTTTCACCTACCAAAACACTAACCTTTAAATATGGTTTAATCTTTTCTAACCTAATTTATACATTCTGTTTTATATGTAATAAATCACGCACTTGGATGTTCGCATCATTAAGGTAGTGGCCATTTGCTAATTTATGGGAGTAAAGGTTGAAGCATTATCCTCAGCATTCCCAGTTTAAAAGGTATAACATTATGTCACCTTTTCCTAGTTAATAGGTTCACGATATTATGACCATTTGTTATTAAAAGACCAATATTTTTATAATTTTTGAGAATATATCTGTATTATAAGAGGTTTACTAATCTTTAGGCCTGACTGGGATAAATGTGCTGATAATATTCGAGGAGGTATGACACGCTGGAAGGAATTGTCCGAGGGCAAGGCGAGTAACGAGCTTGTTGACGTCCTGCTTACAGAGATGGCCTCCGGAGAGGTGGTCGACACTGGTGGTGCTGAATACTTTGATGGACAGGTAAATCATAAAATGAGATGCGCCATGACAAAACCAACGTAATGTGTTTGCGACCAGCATGGATCCAGACCAGCCTGTGCAGTCTGATCAGGATCCATGCTGTTCGCTATCAGTTTCTCTACTTGTTATAGGGTTTGTAAGTGTATAGCATGGATCCTGATCAGACTGCACGGATGTGCAGGCTGGTCTGGATCCATGCTGGTCGCACACGCACTATGTTGATTTTGTCGTGTCCGTCTCAAATGTATTGTAGAGGTCTTTCATGACCACATGGTTCAGTGACGTGCAAGTGAACTTGCAAGCAATTTTTCAATGAAGTTTACCCATCAGGCAACTTATACACAATTTCAATATTGACTGAGCAAATTAATGGAAGTTAAATTTTTCTTACCAGTATGAAATAAGAAGTTAAATTTTTTATGAAGGATATCACTTATATAACATTTGTAAATGGAATCAATAAATTGTATTTTGTTTACTTTTATCTATCTAAAAGGGAACTGGACCAGCGGTGCCAAAATACTTACAGCATGATGGTCCGGTTAGAAATCGACGGTTGGGTAAACGTGATGCCTCCCTACTTATCAAGGATATCTGGAGAGAGAAAGGAGCTCATGATGCAGCAGTATGTAATACCTTAGTTATCTCCCTGTCCAGTTGTTCCGATCTGATTATAGTTATACATCCGTTTTAAGCTTGGGCCAGATTTAGGCAAGCTATTAGTTAACACATACATATATCTATTCTATCAAATGCAAAGAAAGCTTAGAACATATTTGAGTACACTCTACTGATGTACTTTAATAACCAGTACTGGTGCCAAATAAGGAGACATAGTTGTGACCCAAGTAGTACTCAAACCTGCGAGGTGAGAGGTTACACGGAAACAACACATCATATGATTCATTGTTTATAATTACAGAAATCAGATGGTGTTAGGGATAAGATGAGTGATTTCCTATACAGTTACCTACAGAGACGATTTGGTCTAGAGCAGATGATTATAGAGTGGGGGTATAACCTTCACGATGCCTGCCAGAGATATAATTCTGATGAACACATAGGTCTCTTCCATGGTGTCTTAACTGAAGAGGTTTGTAAAATCATTCTTATCCAAACAGTAATAATACACATTTGTATAAACAAGATATGTTTGTAAAACATGTATGCCCCCTATCAGCAGCCAATTAGTCATGTGATAAGGTTATTATGACTTCTGACCCAGTGATCAAACAATTAATAAGGGTTATCAAGTATCTACTGGTCATGACCTTAACCTTTGACCCCTTGACCCAAAACTCAATAGGGGTCATCTGCTGGTCACGACCAATCATCATACAAAGTTTGAAGTTCCTAGGCCTCAGCGTTTTTAGTTAATTGATCGGAAACCGTTTTAACATACAAGGTCAATGTGACCTTGACCTTTGACCCCTTGACCCCTAAATCAATAGGTCATCTGCTGGTCATAACCAATCACCATACCATGTTTGAAGTTCCTAGGCCAAAGGGTTCTTAAGTTATTGATTTGAAAGCATTTTTACCTACAAGGTCAAAGTGACCTTGCCCTTTGACCCCTTAACCCCAAAATCAATAGGGGTCATCTACTGGTCATGACCAATAATCATACCAAGTTTGAAGTTCCTAGGCCAAAGGGTTCTTAAGTTATTGATTTGAAAGCATTTTTACCTACAAGGTCAAAGTGACCTTGCCCTTTGACCCCTTAACCCCAATATCAATAGGGGTCATCTACTGGTCATGACCAATAATCATACCAAGTTTGAAGTTCCTAGGCCTAAGGGTTCTTTAGTTATTGATCGGAAACCGTTTTTACCTAAGAGGTCAATGTGACCTTGACCTTTGACCCCTTGACCCCAAAATCAATAGGGGTCATCTACTGATCATGACCAATCACCATATCAAGTTTGAAGTCCCTAGGCCTAAGGGTTCTTTCGTTATTGATCGGAAACGGTTTTTACCTACAAAGTCAATTTGACCTGGACCTTTGACCCCTTAACCCCAAAATCAGTAGGGGTCATCTGCTGGTCATGACCAATCTCCATACCAAGTTTGAAGTTCCTAGGCCTAAGGGATCTTTCGTTATTGATCGGAAATCGTTTTTACCTACAAGGTCAATGTGACCTTGACCTTTGACCCCTTAACCCCAAAATCAATAGGGGTCATCTGCTGGTCATGACCAATCACCATACCAAGTTTGAAGTTCCTAGGCCTAAGGGTTCTTTTGTTATTGATCAGAAACCGTTTTTACCCAAGAGGTCAATGTGACCTTGACCTTTGACCCCTTGACCCTAAAATCAATAGGGGTCATCTACTGATCATGACCAATCACCATACCAAGTTTGAAGTTCTTAGGCCTTAAAGTTCTTTAGTTATTGATCGGAAACCGTTATTGCTTACAAGGTCAATGTGACCTTGACCTTTGACCCCTTGACCCCAAAATCAATAGGGGTCATCTACTGATCATGACCAATCACCATACCAAGTTTGAAGTTCCTAGGCCTTAAGGTTCTTTAGTTACTGATCAGAAACCGTTTTTGCTTACAAGGTCAATGTGACCTTGACCTTCGACCCATTGACCCCAAAATCAATAGGGGTCATCTACTGGTCATGACCAATCACCATACCAAGTTTGAAGTTCCTAGGCCATAAGGTTCTTTAGTTATTGATCGGAAACCGTTTTTACCTAAGAGGTCAATGTGACCTTGACCTTTGACCCCTTGACCCCAAAATCAATAGGGGTCATCTACTGATCATGACCAATCACCATATCAAGTTTGAAGTTCCTAGGCCTTGAGGTTCTTTAGTTATTGATCGGAAACCGTTTTTGCTTACAAGGTCAATGTGACCTTGACCTTTGACCCCTTGAACCCAAAATCAATAGGGATCATCTACTGATCATGACCAATCACCATATCAAGTTTGAAGTTCCTAGGCCTTAAGGTTCTTTAGTTATTGATCGGAAACCGTTTTTGCTTACAAGGTCATTGTGACCTTGACCTTTGACCCCTTGACCCCAAAATCAATAGGGGTCATCTACTGGTCATGACCAATCACCATACCAAGTTTGAAGTTCCTAGGCCTAAGGGTTCTTTAGTTATCACTCGGAAACCATTTGGTCTACGGACCGACGGACCGACAAGTGCAAAGCAATATACCCCCTTTTCTTCGAAATGGGGGCATAATAATATATTGCTTATGATTTTAACTAATTTAGTGTGTCGTATAACTTGATTATAATATTATCAGTTTGTGGCAAGTGGCTGAAATCTCAGTACAGTTATCCATGCTTCAATTATCAGGCACATTATCACCTTCTGACCCTGCTTTGCCATGTTAAAAAATTTAAAATGGTAGATTTGTGTCGATATCTACTGGTAATTTATTCAATATTTTCATGAATTTTTTCAGCGGTGAAAGTAGTATTATTTGTTAGACCCGGAAATAAAGGGGAGATAACCTCAGACCTTTGGTTACACATACAAACATTAAATAATTTAACTATTTCTGTTCTGTGAATAAATTTGAGGATTAACAGTACCTATTTAGATGAAGACTAATGATTTTTTCTTGAAATTCTGAGCCATACGAAATTTATTAAATATTAAACTGTGATTAAATATTGTACCTTGCTATAATATTAACTACCCATATGAAGTCTGACCTTTTTGTATAATGCACTAAATATTATTATATTTTGTAAGTGTATAATGTTTTCATATAAAGTAACAGATAAATCATTTTAGCTGTTTGTAATTTAAACCTCATATACACACATGTTATGCGTAAGTTTTGTAAATATTTATAATAGACAATGTAATCATATATAGATTTATATATATATATATTTTATAACAGATAGATGAAGAGATTTACCACAACCAGTTACAGTTAATACAAAAACTGATGAACCATCTCACAACCATAGACATGGATAAAGGAAACCAGGGGAAATTATCCAAGGCTGACTTTAGGTAAATATTCTTGTAAAAGGTACAGCATGCATTATCTCCCCTGATAAGTTGGTGAAAGATATTATAATTCTTGCATATTGGACTGGATTTTCTAATTTTAATTTATGCATGTGCTGGAAAATAGCATGCTTTAAAATGATGTCAATAAGTTGCCTTTATAAGGCTTGTTTGCTTAGGATGTTATTCTGCTATAATGAATGAACCTGTGTTTGTAAATTCTATAAGAAAATATTTCTAGCAAAGAATATCAGTTTTCCTAATTTCTTTTTGAACTGTAATTTATATGTAATATGCAAGAGAAAGAATCAAACTTTGGCTTTTGTCACAGACAAGAATATCAGTGTCTTGGTTTTCTACCTACTGAAACTTAGCAGAGCTTTGTTACACCCTTAAACAGTACTCAAACCACATATTTATTAAATTGATAGCAGTTTTTCTTCTCAATTAAGCACTGATATTTCAATTTTCTTACCAAATAGCAGTAACACTTTCAGATGTTCATTCCATCAACAGGATATATAAATAACGTATTTTTCAACAATTTTATCTAAAACACAATATTTCTGTTACTTGAAGTTAATAGAACATAACATAATAGATTTTCACATGCAGAAAATAGATGTTAGGACATACTGACATTAACGTTTTTCTTAATTTTGATTTCTTCAGGGAGGGTTTGACATCATATCTCGGAAATGTTGACCCTGACAAAGTAAACGCCATGATGAGAGCAGCAGAATCAGAAATGGACAACAAGGAAGCCGATGAGATCGAGTATAAAAATCTATTTATGGAGGTTAGTATTTCAGAAAGCTTGATAAAGCAAAGAAAAGTGGGGCTATCTTACCTGTGCATTGTCACAAAACTTGGTAAAGATTTAACATTAAAACAAATGTGTTTGGGATAGATATTGATCAGTGCCAAAGATCCATAACTCTTGCATTGATTTTGACTCACTATATTGTACTATCCCTTTCTTGTTTGTTAATAATCTCCTTAATTACGTTATCCAGATTTGAGCAAAAGTATAAGAAAAGTCGAATCTACAGTCTGACTGACACATATGATGAAACAGTTAATCTGTCAAAATTTATCAGTAGTCATTTCCGACCCAATACAGCTTTTGTTGTCATATTTAAGTATCAAAATCCGTCATATTAATAATGGAAAGTCTTGATTCAAGACAGGACTATTTCATTATCGAAGTTAAGTAGGTACAGGGGTAATCAGGTATATTTTTATTTATAGGATGATGAAGGCAGGACTGGTCCATTTTTGGATGAGATCAGAAAATGGGAGAAGCAGGAGAGGATGAACTATGTTGATGATATACAAAAACAGCTTGTTGATATAAAGTAAGTAATAATTCATGCTAACATAACACTCAATGTGTTGTGATTGTATATAGCTATTTGTATTATTTTATGAAGCAATTTGTATTATTTTATGAAGCTATGTTATAACGATTTTCTTTTTCATTCTATAAAGCTAAGTTTTCATGTAATATGTTTAAGTCTGGATACCTTATATTATCAAAGGTACATGTATTCTTGATTGTTAAATTGGGCCTCTGACACAGAAATTTCCCAAAATAGTTACAACAAAATGCCTTTACCATATAATTTTTGTATCTAAATTTCTTTGATTGAAATCATATTTTAAACTACATGTTTTTGAATACAATGTATTAAATAGCCTTTATGTACAATTTTTCCAATATACGGAATAAAAATAATGCTTAATTATGGACATTTTTTTCTTTAATTTGTTTACTATGAGCTGATTTTAATGTGGATCTTACATTTTTGCTATTTTCAGTCCGGTTTCTGTTGATGACTTGAAGAGATCAATACTACAAGCTGACATTGAAATAGATAATGTTAAAATGAACAAATATATTACATGGGTGTTCCAATCTGAAACGGATCCACTGCCTCAAGACAAGGTCATCGAAAGATTAAGGAACGGAAATGTGGCGCGAATTGGAAGAAAACTGTAAATTGCTATATATAAACTAAAAAAAAATGTATTTATTAAACAGCATTCAATTAAGAATGCTGAAAAGTGTAAACACACAGAACTATAGCTGCATTTTTCACTGGAATTTTATCAAGGTGTTAGTGCCTTAATATATTATAAATGTAGCGTTTTGTGTTTTGTCTGTGATATTTATTGTGTGTGGATTGACTCATCATGATCTTGTACAGCATATCTCCGGGTCAATTTCGCCATCTAATTTGTTAAACATTTATGACTAAAGTATTTTATATTGCAGAATAATTTTTATCAATCTTTTTAGAAATGAAAGTTTTTGTTGTTGTTTTTTTCTGTATAATTTACATGTATGTTACATTTGCTTAAATGTGTAAACTTGATAATAAAATCTTTCTAATCTCCAAAGCTTGTTTTAATATTAACAAATTAAAACATGAATTCTACAAAAATACATATTTTTTAGCTTTTCTGAGAACCCATTGTTAACAAAGTGGAAAGGACCTTTATTCATTACATGCTTTTCTGAAGATAGTGAAATTATATTATGAAAATATAAATTTTACAGTGCCAGACTGTGAATGTGAATGAATAGCAAATATCAAAAATAAATGGATATATACTGAGAAATACACTTGATCATAAGTCAAATGTGATTTATTAAACTGGAAGCACTACCCCCCTACTTGCGCATATCATGTTAAAAGTGGAACAAAATTCATGAAATATTACAGCATTATTTTTCAATACAAACATTGTAACATGATTTGATGACATCATGGAGAGGACATGGCGTTATGAGGGGAAAAGTGATTATGACTTCAAATCACTAAAATGGCATGAAATAAATAGAAAATTTGTTTGTTTTGCATGTATGACTAAAGATCAAATCATATTTACCTTGTGAACACCAGCTGTTGTATTTTCAATTGTGGCTATGACATCGTGAAAATATTGTATCTTGTGTTCACTCTATGAAATAAATTTTGATCTTAAAATGCATACAAAAACAAACAAATATCCTCTTTATATTAACACACAATTGAATGAAAATTTAAAGACACTTATTGAGTTTTCATTTATTTCACTCTAGCCCCGATGTTGCAGCAACTTCCCCTACATGTTCCCTAACAGCTTGGTCTAACACATCATGTATATCTTTACACCCTTTCACAGCCATATCTAACACAGGACTTAAATTATCCTCATGTAGTCTTGCGTTCATTTCTAGAAACACAATTTGTTCAGATTTTGGTAGTGTAGCTACGATGAGTTCCGCACCACCTGAAGCTTCTTCCAGGTAACTAATGTCTACAATTGGTTTATCGTTTACAAAACTTGCTGAGCAAGCACATACGTAGTCTCTCAGTGGAATTCCTGCGTCGATGAGTGCCAGTGTGGCAGCGTTTACACTTGCACAGTAATTGCCACCGTCTGATTGTAAAACCTAACAAAAAAAAAAAACATTTTAAAGAAAGAGTAAACTTACAATTTATTTTCCAGCATAAAAATTCTGGAAAGATCTAACATTTTTATTTTTTGTCTATGCATGATCTTGCATATTTAGGATTTTGGATGGTTTTGAAAGGCCTATAAATTTTTACAAAATGAAAATTTACTTGAATTTTTGGAGCTAATTTATTGCTTAAATATTGAAATGAATATAAGAATGAAAAGCCTTGAATAATTGTCATAAACAGAGGAACTTTAACATGTAAGAATTATAGTTGTTTGCCTTCAGATGTTAAGTATAACTGTATTTTCAAATATCAGATGTTAGAAAAATATGCATCAAGTAGAAGAAATGCATTTATATTAAAAATTTACACTAAAAGTTAAGAAAATCATACCAATACATGTGGATACTCTCTAGGGAACAAAGACAGTAGATTGCATTTTCCACTGCTTTTCCTGAACAGGCCCGGTCACACCTGGTGACCAAGAAGGCAACATTTTAAATTTTGCTATTTTGGACATTCTTAAATCTTAACAAGTGGACTTACCTCTACAAAAATGTCAATCTGTGATCTAGGATACAGGTTTGTTAGTATTGCTGCATCAAATGTCTGTTGTAAGTGCATAGTCATTTCTTTTGATTTGCGGTCACCACGGGGACGCCTTTTACGCTCCCCAGTGCTGAATGTGGCCATACTATACTGACAATTTACAAGAACTTTGTCATGAAGTGCCTTCGACTTGCTTCCTCTTATCTGAAAATATAATAAGTTTACTTAAAAGAAATCTACAAAGTTAAGACTGCTGGCAATGACTGAATCTACATAAAAGTACATTGTACAAAATATAAGTGTGACCTTGACCTTTAAGGAAGGGACATGGTTCTGGGATGTGACACAACATTGTCATGTGATAGACATTTATACCAGGTGACTGGTCAGGGATTTTTTTTGGCTTATTTTATAGCCGTTATTGGGTCATATTCCCAATTGAAAATAGTTAATTATTTTCCCAACCCACAGGAAAAAAATCCCAATTGAAAGTTACAAAATAAAAATATTGAATAAAAATTCTAAAATCCCAAAATCCTGGAAAAAATCCCTGCAGGTTATTTCCAAATCCCTCAATGCAGAAGTTACAGTCTGGACATGATTGTTGAGTAAGTGGGGACAGACGGGCGGACATGAACCTTAGCAGTGACACATCGTCACTTAGCAGTGACATGAATGTGTATCTTCAAACTCTTCTCTAGAGGAGTACCTTCAAACTATAAGTGACTGTGTGTCCTTGACCTTCAAGGTAGTGACATGGGTCTTGGGACATGACACATCATTTTGATGTGGTAGACATTTATGCCTTGTTATTTTAATATCCTTCGATGCATGACAATCTACAGTTCGGACACGAGTGCGTGTACCTACAAATTCTTAATTGTGATAAAGTGAACTTCAAAATGGTAGTACTATGACCTTGACCTTAAAGGTAGGGACGTGGTTCTTGGACGCGATACATCGTCTTGATGTGGTAGACATTTATGCCAAGTTATTCTAAAATCCTTCGATCCATGACAAAGTTACAGTCCAGACACGAATGTGCATGCCAATTAGCTCTAATTATGATAACGTAAAACTTTACGCACAGTGTGATTTTAACGGTTTAATATGCCACCCATGATGATCTTTTTGACTTTACATAAATTTTTGTTATGCTTGATTTATTAGCCCATACCTCATGAGGACCATAGACAGCAGCCAACACTTTCGTGTTGCCCTGTTCTATATAAGCTGAACCATCTGCTTGACTGAAAACTCCTAGTCTACATTGAATTCTTCGTAATTCGTTCGATTTTCGTCCATCAATCCGAAAGCCTTGGTCTGAGAGCAATTCCAGACCTGCCATGCTCAGTTTTTTGTTGACATCGAACGAAAATAACAAACGATATCCGAAACAGATCACGGTTACACAAATGCTTTTGGAAAAAAATGTTATGTCGTAGCATGTGGAAAGAAAGCGTCTGTTAACTTCCGTTTTTTTTTTGGAAGGTCGATTCAATTATTTCCGGTTCATCGCAAGGTTCGCAAGGGCATGGAAACGGAGGAAAAACACGATGTAACTCAGTATTTGACTGTTTTACGTCGTGCAAAATCTGATAATGAAAAGTTTGCAGCACTTCTTATGGTAAAGATTCTAAAAAATGCAACATAATTAACATAGTTACTCGGAAATTTTTCTTTGTCATATATTTTCGCGATGTTATACTGTAAACAAAAGGTGAACGGTTTGATTGTAATCATTGTTTCATAAAAATCTTTAGTATTGTAGTTAAAGTTTCTCAGTTCCCAATAAATAATCCATTTTATATTGCATAGATTCGCATTCTGTGAGTGTATTTGACCATCAGCACATGGCATCAAGCCTGTTCAGGGTGATTTAGACTTAAAGTTATTTCGGCCCCAAGATGTATCAGCCCCAAATTACCCAAGACGTTTCGGCCCCAGACGTTTCGGCCCATCTCAAAATCAGCCCCAGGCAGAATAAGAAGTGTATTTTAAACCGGTATATTGAGAGCATTTCAATAAATAAATCAATTGATATATATAATAATATACATTTAACGGAAATAGCTAGCCGTACAGGCCCGTACAGCTAGCCTAAAGTTGTAGCCATACGCGAGTCACGTACGACTAGCACGGACACACTGTATTGGCTAGCTGTATGACATTTTCAAAATTATATGGAAGTTGAATATGCATATGTTATTTTATGACTTTAAGCGAGGATTTTAACCAAGAAACAGCAATTGTCTTCGTATGTTTACTTTTTAGAGATTAATCGCCTTGTTGGCTAAAGTAAAAAAGTACAAATATCGATCTTTGTCATCTCAAGACGTTGAGAAAAATAGCGTTTGGTCGCAGTTAAATAACATCAATTGAAATAGTTTACAAAATTTTGATGATAATCCTTTTTTGAAATGAAACAAAAATAAAACACGAAAATTATTGTTGTTGGGCTCTGATAATTGCGTCAATTACCGACTGTATAGAAGTTTGATATATGAAACGCATTTTAAATTTCTATTGTCAGTCCCTGGGAAGGCTTTGATAAAGGCTAATTAATTGATTGTGCTTTTACATGTATGTTCGATATTTATCTACTGTATTTGAAATTATACAATTATTTTTGCTTTTCACCATTTTTTTTTTCAATGTTCTAAGCTTCTTTTTATTTATTCCACTCTGATCATTATTTATTCGATCCATGTGCTTAATTAACAAAAATTCATCTTTCATACAAATCATAATTATGAGGCACAAAATAACACATGCATGTTCGACTTCCAATCATAGTCATGAGGCACAAAATAACGCTTGCATGTTCGACTTCCATATAATTTTGAAAAGTGCCGTATGGCTAGACAATACAGTGAGTTCTGGCTAGTCGTACGTGACTCACGTTCGGCTAGAACTTTTGGCTAGCCGTACGGGCCTGTACAGCTAGCCACTTCCTACATTTAATCATCTTTTATAAGAATAAGGTTATAATAGTATGGGGAAAGTAATCAATACAAAGAGAACAGAACATAAACTTTATTTGAAAGAATAAAATACACAAACAAACATATATTGATAAACAAATGTGAACAGACATTTATATAAATAACATGTTTACAATAAAAGTGACAAAACAACATGTATACTTTAGCAACTTCCTTGAGGAACTCTAACGTAATCAACTCCCCAGAGACATAGGCGTCCTAAATCTCTAGCTGTTCATGCAGCCTTCGATACTTGGGACGTCTGTACCTTGTAAGTAAGTGTTCATGGACATGTTCACTTTCCGCGACAGAAGGGGAATTAGAACATACATCTGTACATTCCCTTAAACCTTATTTAAAGCAATACTATAGTAGGGCCGAAATGTCTCACGGAAAAGGGCCGATATGTCCAGGGGCTGATTTGGTTTGGGGCCGAAATGTCCTGTTTGCTTCAGGGTTGTCTTTATATAAGCCAGTCGCTTAAATTATTTACTGTATCAAACAATCTTTAGGGTGGCTCAAATCTCTTGAAAAAAAAACAAAAAAACAACAATATTTTTTGTGTCATTTCCATAGTGAAAGTTCAATATTTAGTCAATCATTTTAACAATAATCTTGGACAATAAGTAAATAACAGGCACAGTCTTATTTAAGATCAAAGAAAAATCACTTTGGCTAAAAACGATATATGACAGAGAGACTGTAACTGTCTGTGATTTGGTAACTGCCCATATTTGGGGATGTAGAATATCATCAGCCAATCAGAGCGTCCATTTGCCTGTGAATCAATTAACCGCCTACTTCTTAATTTTTTTTTATAGTTGTGTCAGACAAATTTTCATATATTTGTAACCAGCTAAAGTGCTTGTGACATATCTTTTCATTGATCAATAAGCAACAAACACATTAATACATTTTCATTTTAACTATTTTAATTAATTCTTGAATTAAAATACTACAGAATCGCTGATTTAGATTAAACTTAAGTCCTTGATCTTTGAATGTTTTTTTTTAATGTAAATGCAACTTAATACACAGTTTGGCATGTTCAGTTGTCTGCATATTTACGCAAAAAGTGAATGTTAGTCGAACTAATTAGACATTTAATGAGACATGGAGATAATTTTGGATGGGCCATATCCAAAAAACAGCTTGACATTACGAGTATGAAAAAAACAAAAAAAAAACAGTCTGTAACATGGGTCAAACCATTCACGCTGAATTAATTAGACTAGGTGACTGTGTGAAATACAATTATAAAAATGATTTAAAATTATAGGACAGGGACCCAGAATACTTCCAAAATGAAGAGCAGACATACTTTAATATTACCCATAATTCAGATTAAAAAAATGAGTTTATATAAAAATATGTATGAAAATAATATTAAGGTGCCGACTGCATGCAGTACAAATTGAACTGGGTAGCAATTTTCCACAGTAATCTCTACTAAGACCCCATTAGTGTCAAACCCTGACTAATCAGTTTGTTTTTCTTTGTAATTTTATTTCTTATAAGGATATAAAAGATACTCTTTTTCTAATTGACTGTGTTATTAATTTTAAATTAAGGTGGCAAAGACATCAAAAGATAAATCATTGGATGTAGATATAAAACGAGAAATCCTTGATGCTGTAGGAGTGAAATTCTTCTCAAGGCTTCTTAAGACAAGTAAGTTATTTAGCATGTTTATCACATAACTATCTTCAAAACTAATATGTAGATCAACCCTACCCCCACCCCCACCCCAACCCCCACTCTTGATCCTGCATGTGTCAGTTACATTTCTGTCGCATAGAAACCATAAATGAACAGTATGGGGAAGTTTAAGTTAACATAAACTGAAAATATTTTTTCATAAGTTTTTTTATTCATTTGCAGTATTTACACTAGATGAATTATCTATTAAATAATCAGCATCAGTTTCAATTCACAAAGTACTATGTATGGTCAGTTTGAAATAGGGGAAACTACTTGTTTGGAAGTGTGTACTATTTGACTACATTATTATATTCATACTTGACTACATTATTATATTCAGTCATACTTGACAGACTACTATATTTTATTCATACTTTGCATACATCTCAATAATATTTGAGTGTTGTGCAAGCTTCAATGGATATATTTTTTATATTTCAGACAAAGTACCAGAGGACTGTCCTGTAAATATATACAAGAATGTTGCCATGTCAGTATTGTCTGCATTATGTATGGAGCCTGAAGTTGTATGTAACAAAATCATATCACATTGTTTTATAACAAAAGACCTAGTTGATTTTATGTCATTTTTGAGTCTTATAAAATAATTACTGCAACCAACGATGTGGCAAGAACAACAAATTTTTTTTTCATGTCACTGTCAGAATTAATAAATACCAGGAAAAAGTGGAGTTGGCAGAATGTATTAATATATTCTGGGATATATACCTAAAATACAGTGTAATTCCATCATTTCTTTGTGAAATAATCTGTTTTGTCATTGAAATAATTTCTTTGTTCACAAATAATGAAATACATGTATTATTTTAGCATTCTGCCTTTCCAACTGCTGTAACTTAGCATTGCTTAGTAGTCTGTATACAGTGATTTACAATAACTGGTCATTATTTTAGTGATGTCTAGTTACACAACAACATCTTGAGTGTTTGGACTTGTACATAGGTGAGATATGTTTGCAATAAATAATTTATCTTTACTACATGGAACATGGTATAATATACTTGATTTTTGTACCATTTTTTCTAATTTTGGTATGAGCCGAAGTCACTGAATAGTCTGTTTTGTTTACAGGCAAGTAGTCCAGTTCTGACAGAAAATGTGACAAGTTTCAACAACATTGTTCTCCTAAACTCAGAGTAAGTTTTGTTACAAATAATTTTTACAGTCATCTTGAATTTCAGACATTGTTATCTTATGATCTATGTTTGATATTTATGTGACTATTTTCCTGAATGGGCCTTCATTGTCTAGTGGTTACGGTTGTTGACTCCTAATCACTTACCGCCACTGCTAGGGGTTTGAGTATGGCTTAGGCTTTTGAGGAAGCTATAATGCTGGCTGTAGGTTGGTGGTTATACTAAGGTTTCCACTTGTGCTGGAATACACAAAGAAAACCAATTAGAGTCTTCCTTCACTAGTAAAGCTAGAATGTCATCATATTACCATTACACTGTCTGTGACTTATAAATCAATAAAAAATGTCATTATTAAGTATATTGTTAAAGTGAAGTGTCCTCTATCAGGGGGCTATACATCAAATTGTGATCACATTTCTTTAAGGAATTCAAATTTTCTAGATGAATATAAATTGAATTGTATGTATTATTATCTTAACAGTTGTTTGTTTATTTTGTTTCTTATTATTATTTTTCTCTTTTGTTCATGTCAGATACAAGCTTAAAGCTTATGTTTTTTACTCTTGACCATTATGGACTATAAATAAAGTTTGTCTTACTGTCTTATGTCTCAGTGCAAGAATATGCTATTATCTTCATTTGATTATATTTAGTTATGATAGTCTAGTACAAAGGTTAATTTATGGTGTATACTGTTTTATGATGTATTATTTTTATGTATTTAAAGGGAAGCTGAAGACAAGCAGCTGATAGATGACACATATGATTGTTTCAACAGTTTATGTCAGTCAGAGCAGGGTCTTAAATGTCTTCTCCGTGCAAAATCTGTGTCGACATTCTGCCAAGCTGTTATCTCACAGAACTATGGTACAGTTGTATGAGCTAATTTTTGTTGATTCTTGGTTTTTCAATAAATCAAATAATTATAATACTTGAAACAAGTGTTATCAAGGTGTAAATGCAGTGATACTCACACATAATCTGTTCTCTTTTTCACCATTTCTTTTTTATATTCTATTCCATGTCACTTAAAAAACATTGTGATTTTTTTCAGCTTAATTTTAATAATGGACATTACATAAAACACATTTTTTTATGTATCTACCACTGTAATGGAAAGTAGCCTGGGAGCAGAATCAAAAATGATGAGTTAAAATTGCAAAATCTTAAAGGTTTTTTTAGGTGTTTTTTATTTTAATCATGCTTAAACATGAAAATATGTATCATTATATGAGTGGGTATGGATGGATTATTGAAATATTGTTTGATTATTCAGGTTTTGAGAAGGCCCATGAGTTGATATGTTGCATGGTGTCATGTTACGGACCAGATACGTGGAACGGGTACGAGTCATCATATCATGCTTATGTCAACTTCCTCGGACGACAGTTCCTCGAGGATGAGGTATTTTTATTACATGTTTTGCAGTAGATTACTGAATTATAACGGTTAATTATATTCTGATAATTTCACAGTAATGATTACCAAATATAATTTCACAGTAGCCGAACTATATTTGGCGTAAAAATAAAATATTTATCATTAATGAATGTTTTTTCAGCGGAAATGTAGTCAATCATAATAAAAAATGTACGTGATAACTGTAGTTCGTAAATATTTACGAACGTTGTGCTGAAAAACATCTAAAATCTAAAAATAATCATGGTATTATATTTTGCTTCAACATTGTGACGTCATTATTTGATGACGTCATTAAGATAAGAGCATGACGTTACGCGGCAAAAATCAGTAAAATGGTGTAAAAATCGTTAAAAAATCATGAAATAAACAGAAAATTTGTTTGTTTTACATGTGAGATCAAATAATATTTCACTCGTGAACCCCATCTATTATATTTTCACTCGTGGCTACGCCACTCGTGGTAAAAATTGCATCTGGTGTTCACTCGGTGAAATATTTTTCGATCTTACACTGAAACAAACAAATATCCTCTATATCTTTTTTACTATAATGCATTTGTGAAATTTGGCTTGCCCTGAATGAGATCTGGTCCAGTTCATTGTTTAAAGGATTCTATTTTGATAAAGTTTAGCTAGTAGTTTAGCGTTTGTTAAGATTACACAAAAGAGCATACTGGGTTATGCTCTGCTCCATATAATACTGCCATGAAAATGCCTTTATTTCAGGTAACATTAAGTGAGTAAATGAAATGATAAGGCTGGAAACTAGGGCTGAAAGTAGATATAAATTTGTTTGTTGCTTTTAAAACAGGACCATAGAATAGTTAGCAACTGTGTTAAATCGCAGTAGTGATAATTGTGATGCTTCTTTAAGACCTTTTTACTGGTATTGTAATGTGTAGGAGACAGAAACAACTAAACTAGTAACAGTATTTAAACATGTGAATAGTTGGTATTTGATAATACCTTAATTTAAGAATCATGATATATATTTCAGACATTACACAAGTTTGAGATGTGTAAAACTTTGGTATTTCTCCTGTCAGCAGCCCCAAATGATAAGGTAAGATTGTCTGACATAAGTGATAGCAATCTGACATAAGTGATAGCAATCTGACATGAACGATAGCAATCTGACATAAGTGATAGCTATCTGACATAAGTGATAGCAATCTGACATAAGTGATAGCAATCTGACATAAGCGATACCAATCTGTCATAATTGATAGCAATCTGACATAAGTGTTGGCAATCTGACATAAGCTATAGCAATCTGACATAAGCAATAGCAATCTGACATAAGCGATAGCAATCTGACATAAGTGATAGCAATCTGACATAAGCGATACCAATCTGTCATAATTGATAGCAATCTGACATAAGTGTTGGCAATCTGACATAAGTTACAGCAATCTGATATAAGCGATAGCAATCTGACATAAGCAATAGCAATCTGACATAAGTTATAGCAATCTGACATAAGCAATACCAATCTGTCATAAGTGATAGCAATCTGACATAAGTGTTGGCAATCTGACATAAGTTATAGCAATCTGTCATAAGCGATAGCAATCTGACATAAGTGTTGGCAATCTGACATAAGTGATAGCAATCTGACATAAGTGATAGCAATCTGACATAAGTGATAGCAATCTGACATAAGTTATAGCAATCTGACATAAGCGATACCAATCTGTCATAAGTGATAGCAATCTGACATAAGTGATAGCAATCTGACATAAGCGATAGCAATCGGACATAAATGATAGCAATCTGACATAATTGATAGCATCAGACATAATATTAGTGATCTTACACAGGTATATTGTTCTGATATCAAGTTTAATGCTCTCAAATTTATCAATTATAGTGTAAAAATATGTTTAAGTAACAGTGCTTTGATTTATGAAATGTTATTTTGGTAATAAGTTTATTTTTCTTTTGGTAATAAGTTTATTTTTCTGTTGTTAGTTTTATTTATTTGTAACATGACATGTGATGTTGCAATTTGAAACGTTCTGATATTAGTAATAATTATGTCTGCCTACTGAGTTCAATACGGAGAGGTTTGGATATGTTATCCAGTGGTCACTAGTTCTATTCTTGTATGAGGCAAAATTTCTCGATGACTGTCAATCTCTGACATTGAGTTTAATGGTCATTTGTCTTGCACTGCTGATTCAGAAATCCTGTGGGATTTAATGTCAATCACTTACGGAGAAATTTGGAATTACTACTTTATTACCCAGGGAAGGTGGTTTGGTTAACCAAGATACGACCCAAAATATGTAAAAATCTATGTAAAACCAACAAGCAAAACAAGTAATATGAAATATTTTCTTACTAGGAAGAGACAATGGAGCCACCTTGGATACGTCCAATAGTGAGAGGACTGGATAATATACTGAGGAGTAAAATCAGTAAGTTAAAATACCTTGGTTTATATACAGTTCATCACAGACTTTCTTTAAAATACTTTTCTATAACATTTCCCTAAAATATTTTAATATAAATCTATATAAAATTGCAATATTGTGATGATATTTGTACAGATTTCAAAAAATGTGTTACAGTTAGTAGATTCTTTAGCTATTCCTTAACTGTAAAAGCCATAATTCAAAAACTGTAGTCAAAATAAAAAAGTCAAATTCATAACATTCATGTATGCGAGATGCAATATTGTTATTTTCTGGAGTAATGACATGATAATTAGAATACACCATTGCATCTTACAAAAATGTTGCAAAATAGGGATAACAAAAGCTGATATAAGTAGGCGAGAAGTACTCTTGGTATTTTACAATATTACCTGACGTCAGTCAATAGTTATTGATTCAGTAGGGTTTGTGCAATCCTTTAGTACTGGCACCCGGCATCAGTGTTTTAACATATGTTACAGGTCCAGCACAGAGGGAACCAGCATTAAAGCTTGCATCTATGATGGTACAAGTGTGTGGTATATATTCAATTCAACCACCGTACACATATGATTTTAAACTGTTCCTGTTAACTACACATCTATGCTGTGTAGAGGTCAGGATGGTTCTAGAAGATCCAGATCTCACGTTGGTTAGTACACATTTTTATGTAGAACATTTTATATGCAGGCAGGATAGGGACAAAAGCCCCACTTAAGCATCTAGAATTGATATGTTCATATCAGATGAAACGTCTATGCTGTGTTGCAAAGGTGCTTGAAGTCTAATATCTCCTTCATACCTTCATATATCTATAATTTACATAAAGTAAAGAAAGTTATCATTGCAAACCTTGTGATTATTTTATATATATGGGTAGGGTAGGGGTTTGTGTGTTAGACGTCAGGCATCTGTGTTGTGTAGTGGTAATAGGAATAATAGCAGAAGATTTACTAGCGCTGTCATTGAAAATAATGATATCAAACCCGAAATTAAATTCTCAAGGGTCGATGTTTGACTATAACAACAAAACATACTTCCTTTAAGACTGATATATTTGTGATTTCTTAAACAACATGACGACAGTATACACTGTACTAGCTATTTTATTTGAAATTCTATCAATATTTGGCTGCCTATAAGTTAGTGACAGGCCTAGATCGTAATCATATAATGACATTAACTCTTTACATCATATGCATCTTACGCTTCTAATTTTGTTTTGTTAACATTTCCTGCATTCATTGTGCACAATGGATTTAAAATTGTGATGTATTACAGCATGTCTGTGATGGTTAGAATTAAAAGATAGTCTTCATTTCTATACTGAACATGTGTAAAGTTGGTTACTGGATATGCTTCCAGTTATTGAAATTGTCTTGTTTCTTAATGAAGGCTTCAGATAAAGGGAGGTTACTATCATCATGTTATACATTCATGGAAAATGTGATAAATCATTTAACATCTGGGGCAACAATTGACATAGATGATCGTCAGGTGATGCAGCTACACTGTGCAATGGTTGGAGCATTTGGTGCTGTGATAAACTTTCTTAAACGTGTCTCCTTGGATACAGATGTTCAGGTAGAAAATCTCTAATCATATAATATTCTCTATACCAAGGAGTTCTCTAATATTCAATAAATAATCTCTAAACCAGTGATTACTCTACATTCAGAACTGCCTCGGCTATTATCTATAATAACCTCGGAAACAATACGGATTGAGAGTAGTTCTACCACATGGTTAACAGATGTAAACAGAAACAGAGATAATGTAAAACGAATGTATATATTTGACATCTAATGTCTGTTCCGGTACTCTTATGCTTGAAAATATGTCTTGACAACAATTTGTAATTTAAATATGCTCACTGATGTTCAATTTTAAACAAATCCGACTAAATGTCAACAGGTTGGTTTTTTGTACTTCTGGTTTCTACAGCCATATTAATAAATATATAAATAATGTATTATTTGCTTTTGTACCTATGAATTCACTTATTTTAGGTGGACTTTTACTACATATATTGGAAATAAACTTGTCAACAACTCCAATTATTAAATTACTATTTGTTTACATGTTTAGTTTCTTAACGTAGGTTAGACCGGAATATCGCATCCTTTCTGTGTATTCTTACTATTGTGTTCGAGGTCCTTATCCGAAGACTGACGAAAAGGGCCGAGTAGTTGCAATTGGATTACTCTATAACATCAAAAATACTCTCTAACCTGATATTACTCTGTAATTGGTTGTTTGTCTTGTTTTTAGGCTGTTTTTTTTTTTAAATACAATTTTTGTCGTATCTTGTCAATCTGACCACCTTTCTGGCCTTTAACACAGTATTATTGTGACGGTATAGAACTGTTCACTAATTAGAGGAGAAAATGTGTAAATGGCTGTTAAACTCTGATGGAATGATCAATAAAAAGTATCCTGTTGATGGTCAAGGCTTCAGGTCCATGTCAGGCTGCACACTGCACATTTTCGCACACTGTGACATAATATAAAACCTTGAATGCAACATGGTCTTACAAGAACTTTTTTTAAGCTGCTGAAATGAAGAATCTTGACTTGTAATCACCTGGTATTATAAATTATGTAATTTCATAATCAACTAATGATAACTTTATTAAACAAAGTCAAATTCCATCATTTTTAGATGCATTATTGGAAGAATAGGGTCAACCATGCTTTTGTGTTGGTGTGGCCGTAACTCTTTGGTTAGTTTTTTTTGCGTGCAAGTTGGTATCTCCAAAACTACTGAAGAGAATGAATTAAAACTTCACGCTTTTGTTCGCTGTGATTATTTTACATAATGAACGTAGGTCCTATAACTCTAAGTAGCCTTGTTACAGAGTTATGCCCATTTTCTTACTGTCAAACAGTTAGAATAGTTGATCATGCTGTCTGATGGATGGCTTTTGTTGTGAGTTCAAAATTCGACAATATATAATTATGTTTTTACAGTGGAATAGCATTATTCTGGCTACAGTGAGGGTCCTCGGAGCATGGATGGCGGAGGAGACTTCGGCACTGAGGGAAGAAATCTATGAACTTATACCTTTCTTAGTACAAATCAGGTTTGCACTTTATTCATTTTTGGTATTTCTTAAGAAATTGTATCTTTAGTTGCTTTTGCTTTTTATTTCCTTTCCTGTTTCTTAAAAAGGTTGATTTTTAGTTCTTTTTGCGTGTTCGGTTTTTGGTTCATGATTTTTCTTTTTAGCTCATGGCTGCCATTATAGAAGTAAATATATTGTTTATAATGCTGGTAGTTAGGATTTAAGTCCTAATTGTAGCTGAAATACCAACATTGTCCAGCTTTTGTAGTTGGTAGTAGATCTGTAAATTGGTGAATTTTGCCATAATTTGTTTGGTTGATGGATCATTATTTTGTCTTTCATTGCAGTAAAATGTGTATACCCCCAGATAAGTTGAGGAATAAAGCTATAGAACAAGGACATAGTAAAGACAATGAAAAAGGAAACAAAACTGCAACAGAAAATGAATCAAAATCCATAAATGATCTAGATAATAATGAAAATATCAAAGACAGTGTTGAACCAGTGGTAGTAGAAAGTGATAAAGATTTGAGTGCAAAGATGAATGGTGTGTCTGTGATGGATAAAGATAATGATAGTGAATCTATAGAAAAGATTGGGGAAGGTACTGATCATGTTCAGGGATCAAAGACAGACAAGTCAGTGTCAGAACAGTCGGGGGATCAGGTTAATAATGGGGGAGATTCTGAAACTGCAAATGTAAAAAGTGTTGATTGTAGTAATGGTTTAGATAATGAGAAGGTAGAAAATAATAGTAAAGATTTGGTTGAGGAGGATGATGTTAGTATGGGAGAAAAAGCTAAGAGATTAAGTGATTCCAGGCTTGAGAAGGAAGTTTTGAATGCTGCTGAGCTGCAAGAACTGCATGAAAAGGCAGATATATTACATTTTCTGTTACCAGCTTTATGTCATTTGACAGCAGAAGAGGACCCGAGACATATACTGTTACAATGTGGAGGTCTAGGTGTCCTGGATCTATACATGTGGCGGCAGTGGGAGAGACTTGTAGATCAAGAAAATCTTAGGGAAACTCTGGTAAACATCTTTTTGTTTTAGTTTACTTATTTTGTGTTTGTTTTAAAACATGTTAGTATTAATATTCTATAAAAATAGTGTTGTAGTTACCTGTTAGTGCTTGTATTAACATTTTAGACAACCATTTTAGAGTCATGCAAACTTAAGCAAGACCTTTCTATAGACTGCTCAATTTAATTATTCCATCCAATCAAAAAACAGATGTTTTTATGATTACTTCTCTCTAAGATAAATTTCCGTTTAACCAATATAAATTCATTGATATCATTATCTCTATATGCTAAAGAGAACAATGCCTCTTGCTTGTGCAACTAGTATAGCAAGAGTACTGTTTGCACATTTTATTAAAACCTGACTTGAATTTATACAATACTGTTGGCAGCTCAATTAGGCAGCGTGGGCCTTGTGGTTAACAAATTTGATTAGTAATCTAAGGATTGCTGACTGCGTTGGTTCAAACCCTGCTGTGGGCAAGCCATTGTTTCCTTGGGCAAGAAACTTTACATTCATTGCTTAGAACTGGTTGGTTCCAGGAATGGAATAGAGAGTATTTCAATAAGCTAATAGCTTCCAACACAAATTAAACTAAAATAAATTTGTATAAACTAGTAAGGCTTTTTGATATAATTATGTAAATTTTTTTAAAATTCAAAGCTGGACACAACTATTGTACAGTCTGTTTACAGTCTTAAAGGTAAAGTTGGTAAAGATTTATACATGGTATTATATGTATATGTGTCTATATGTTTCAGTCGAGCCTGGTAATATTGTGTAATATATTCCTGAACCTTATCATTGTTGAGCCAGCCCTCGTACCAGAAAACCAGGAATTTTGTCATATTCTTTTACTTGTGTGTAAAGGAATAAATTTAGCTGGTATGTATGCTATGTTTATTGTAATCATTTTTATTTTATTTTACTTTTTTGTTGACTTTTTCTCTGAAAAGTCCATGGTATTTTACCCTTACAATGTTAAATGTCTTTAATTAACTTGAACATCTTTCAATCTGGACGAAACCATTCATTTTAGGTAAAATTTCAAAAAATTTTATTGACTGAATAGCAGAACAGTGCACACCATGATCGTACAGTATAAATGTGTTTGTTTATGTTAGTATGCACTGGTTGCATTAGTAGACTCAGGCTATGGGTTGAACCTCAGGATAATTGCAATGACTGTAAAATATTACAGGCAACTTCTGCAGGAAGTTGTTTAATTTTTCAATTTATAGTAGTATATGACCCGGTGGGCTGTTGTTTTGTTGTTTTTTTCTTTCATGCCAACTAATGACAAGTACATTTTTTACAGCTCATTAGCTAAGTAATTTTCACACTATTGTTAAGTAAAATTACCCAGTGACATGTAATTGCTTATCCATGATGGTTATCAGACTTCCAGTTGCTCAAATTTAGCACTCTGAAATCAAAACACATCTACCCTCCGCCAGAGAGTTCAGTATCTAAATCAGAATACATATAAAATATGAATTAAATATGCATTGTAGTAGTTGAAGTGAAACAAAAGCCATGTTGATTGAAAAATAATTTCTTATTTTAGAGCGAGATCCGGACTATATTGTATTATGGTCTCACATGGTAACATTGGGGCTGATGCTCATCCGAGCCTTACACTTGAATATTGGTATGTTAATAAATTTACTACCTTCTTTATGTAGTTTTAAATATCGTTATTGGCACATTTGTTAAGCTTTTGGTATGCAGGAATGGAGTTTGTGACTTGTCCTCTCTGATAAATTGAAGGAAGGGGAACAAATGCCTCGAGATCTTCCACCTTGAATGCTGAAAATTTAACTGAAGCAAATAATTGTTAACATCATATCTGTAGAAGACATATATATTTATAATTTTATCATATTGTATGTTTTCTAGGACTATTTTTCATTGAATAATCGTGATATTTACATAGTTTTATATACTTAGCGGCTTTCAATTTATGATGAAATTACATTTTTTTTCTTCTGAAAAAGGGAAGAAAGCTGTATTATAAATTCAATATAAAGATTCCTGACAGGTTATATGGCTGTATGTAAATGTTTTTTTTTACAATATAACCTGAGCTGCTAGGCACAGTTTATATAATACAAACATAACCGCTTATATAGGGCCATATAACCTGTAAAAATCTTTATAACTAATACTTTATGGTAGTAGTGTCAACGAGCACAGAACTTTTAAAATATTTACTATTTAAGATAAAACTAAAACAAAAATTGAACAAGCATTTTATGAATAATTATATATTATGTGTCATGTTTTACTTTGTCTAGACGATTTCCTTGAAAAGGACAGTGTTGTCAAGTTTTTCGAGTCATCTATCAGGTTTCTGAAAGGAGCCTATACACCTAAATCCAGGAAGAGACAGGCTACCCTTGATATTGTAGATACATACAAAATGGCATGGGAACAAATTTCACAGACTTGGTTTCTTAGCATGCAAGGTAAATAAATTTACGAAATTGAGCGGACATTTTTTAACGTGTAAATATGAATAGGTTGCCATATGTCATATTTATCAAGCTCTGAAGGTTAATTGGTTATGTTGCATTTAAGTTGTTAACTGTTGTAAGAACTTAGGAAATGTTCTACTTACCAAGGTCTAGTGTTGATAAGAGGTTTTTGTTTGCACAATCAATTCTTGTCACTAGAAACTTCACACATGTTTTCAAGGTCATAATTGTAGTTCACTTCTCAAGGACCAATTAATCTAGCTGAAATATTCAAAGGGATATCCTTATCAGCTGTACATCTTGGTCAGGGAAACACTTGGTTAAAGTATTAATTGTAACTTAATAGCTGATTAACCACTGACGGTTTTCACTTTAAATTTTGTACTGTCAAAGACTCCTAGTTAGGATTTTACAGAATTTTTCCCCTTTCTTAACTTTTACATGATCTTTAAAGTATTTTAAAACCAAGAATGACATATTGGTGCACCATAGCAGCAAATGAACAACACAAATCTTAAAAGTGGATAGGTCTACAATGGGTAAATTTTTTATTAGTTTTTCAAATATTTAAAAAAGAAAACATTTAGCCAATGTATCATTTGGATATTCTTATAGAATGCTGGTTGAAAAAGAATTGTTGGTAAAATTGCTGAATAATTATATTTTGTTGTAGAACACTTTCTTATCTGCTATATAAATATATGTAATATTGGATCGTGTATCTCACACTTGCCAACAACTTCCATGTATAATTAATTTGTGGTTTGTTGTTGTGCCTGATAACTTAATATTATCAACACAAAATTTTATTCATTGTATTACATACCTTTAGTTATAGACCAATTCACTTTAATTGTAATGACTTCCTCTCTGAAAATTTTACACTTGAAAGTTATATTTCCATAACTAGAAATAAGGGGAAAAGAAAGGAATTAAAGGGAGAAAAATTGAACATGTATTGAAACAATTATCTGTCTGTTTATTTTGGAGTAAAAGATCAATATAATAGTTGTTGTTGTTGTGTTTTTTCAAGCATTTGCATACTGTATATCAACATATGAAGATTTACCGACCATTGTCTTAAAAAGTGGCTGGTTACCAGGTCTCCTTAAAATACTCACTGATGTGAAAGGTTTGTCAATGTTTAAATTACTTTACAAGCTTTCCAGGTATACTTTAATGCTGCGCCCGTCCAGATGAGCAAAATTATTTAAATAAAATCAAACCTGAGAAAAAATGTACCAAGATTTTAGTAAATGTGACAAGATTCAAAATTCTAGTATTAATTTACATGTCATGTGCGATTAATGACCAAATTTTTAGTATTTATATCTATATTTCTACTGCGTTACTAACACAGTAAGGGCTATTTTTGCAAATTTTGACATCTTTTTGGTACTTTACATGGGTTGTAAGTGACATTGATAATGTGTAAATTGCATTATTTTGGTAACTTCACAATATTATACTGTTAAGTACATTTTTAAATTTTCATGAAAATTAGTAAGAATCTGGAGGCATGCTGCTTTAATATTTCTGTCAGGATTTTAAAGGAGCTTTTTTAAAGAAAAATAACAGAAAGGCTTGTTATATATACACGCAAGTCTGATTAAATCAAAACTATTATAGATTTCATATCGTAAAACAATGAACAACATTTTGAACAAAATATTCCTAAAATTCTGTTTCATGAGTTTAAAATATTAATGATAACCACATTTATTTTTTGCATTGAACATACATGACATTTATTTAATTAAAACTTTAAACATTGCTGCAATCAAATGATATAATATACTATTGTACCTTATTCTCATTGTTTGATTATTTTCAGCAAATTCTGTTGCCGAGGAAACACGCAGCTGTTTCCTGTTGTTGTTGACTGCTATTGCTAAGGTAGATAAATCAGCAAAGTCTGTGATACGAGAGAAAGGAGGGCTAGATTTAGCTAGGTATGATAGTATACAAGTTAATATAAACCATCTATTAACAGAACGTCAGTGGCTGAGTGGTTATGGTTGGAGAATTAAAATCATTTGCACCGTCACTACTTTTGGTTCATATCTGCCTCAGACAATAGAATGTTTCATGTTAGGTAGCTTTCAAGCTAGTTTATAATATGTTGGTGGTTCCACTTGTTCTTACAATAATGAATGTAAGGGTACCCAAGATATTCCTTCACCAGTAAAGCTAAATTGACACCATTTTACCTTTAATAGATATGATTTTTTTTGCAGAATTAAGAAATTTTAAAAAACCCTTCTAGGACATGATAAAATCATTTTGAGACCTTTATCTAGGATAAAATAAAGTGCTTCACAAAAAAATTATCAAGTAAAAAGAAATTATTATGACTGTGATTTAAAAGTGTTGATTTCTATTTCTGTATATGCAAGATTTCAACATTAACAACAAAGAAATAAACTGTATCAAATTGTTAACTTTAACCTTAAAGTTTTTATCATCAGATCTGCATTTTACTTTTCATATCTTGTGTTTATCATAATTTGTTAATTAGGCATGTAAGATTTTAAAAATGATATATGTTGTTCACGAGTTTTTTTCTGTGAAACATAGGCCCTACAGCTTTCTGTGGAGAAATTGGAAGTTTCTTTTATCACCTTATTATTGACTGATATCTTAAATATAAGGTGTCTTGATATCTTACTGACCTCTACCCTTTGGTTTCGGGTTGATTTGATGAAGGTCATAGTGACTAAGGCTATAAATAAATGTTTCTACTTTGTACTTTGTTTAGGTTTGTGAAAGTGACATTGGGGAACCTTCAATAACAATTGTGTGAAGTAATTCTTGTTTTCATCAATGTTATCTTATTGAACATAATTTGATATACTTTATATATTGACAGATCTTTCAAGTCATCTGAGTTACAAGAAATCCTTCAGGCATCATAAATTGTCCTCATGATGATGATTACTAACCATGGAGACCAGGAGAATTCCAGGAAGTCAATTGTTGCCATGGAAACTGTGGATTTAGAACAAGACATTCTTGTCTTTCATTTTAATCACAGTCACTGAATTCTATATCAGCTGTTCCTGCAATGTTTGACTTCTACGAAGGACTTTTAGAACCATGAAAATTAGCAGTTACCATGGAAACCAAGCATTCAACCATTATTTTACCATTTGATGATCACTTAATAAATAGTGTGTTCAGACATTTACTAAAAAGAAAAACCAGAATGTATATGTTTGTCTTGAATAAAATATTCAAACCTTTAAATTGCTTGAGACTGGCACTGACAGGGACTTATCAGTATCATCATTTTAGAGTCAGGCTAGCCTGCATATCTGTATAATTTATTTTGAGTCTTGAGCCTAATTCCTTATTCTTTTGGCAAATTAACAAGCCTTTTCAATAGATGAACAAAACAGGGTCAAATCTTTGAAAAAAAATAGGATAATGGTTTTTATATGAATTTTTGTTGTTGTTTAGAAATATGAGGACATGTTGCTCAAAAGTTCTCCTTGGCTCAGGTGTTAGGCTAAGACAGGTAAGTTTGGAGATCAGAATGTAAACTTGATACACTAATTTGGTTTTAACATATGGAAATTCTTATCTCCCATACTTCAATCTAAATAATAATGGCTACAGCAGCTCTGAAATTTAATCAGAAAAGCTTTTATTTTAACATTGTTAAGAATATCTACAAAAATCATTCTTAGATTTTGTTTCATCTTCAATTAAAATTTGATATTTCATACAATTTTGGCTGGCTATGGCTGGAGAGAACTGTTTGAATAAAGACATGTATTGTTTTGCCATTTAAAAAAAGAACAGCTATTTGATTGGTTGATTTGAACATGATGATATTTGAATATTGACCAATGGCATTGTTCCTTTTATAGACTGGTCTTCAATCTTTCATTTGTTGGTTTAAACCAGTCATTGTTAATATTTTAGAGGTATTGATATGTTTATTTTTGCACTGATATCTAAATATGAATATTTATATTATAACTTTTTATGTGCTTTTAACTAATTGAAGTTTATGACTTTAGAATTTGTTTTTCTTTTTTTTTGGTTGTTGTGAAGATTTGAAATATTAAAGCTTTAAAAGTAATATGTTATTGTCATTTGTTATGCCATTATTTTAGGTTCATGAACATAAATCATACCAAGGCATTTATACAAAAGATGTTCACACATTAAAAAACTAAACAAGTCCAGTTGAAGGATTGTTCATTAAGGATACATATCATTAACAAAACCTTGTTTCCTGGTTGTTTGACACATGTTTAGTCATATTTCGGCTGTTGATCCTAATCGGCTTTACTGGGTAACTAACCAGTAATTACCAATAAAACAGTTCACAAATGACTACTAAAAATTTTACTTGATTTCTGAACCAGCAGTGAAAGACAAATGACCATTGGACTTGATGTTTGAGATAAATTAACATGGAGAAATTTGGCCTCTATCGAACAAGTGACCTCCACACCACTCAAATGCTCTCCCTATTGAGCTAAATGTAACCTCATAATATCTACACTGAGTTAATCTCTTCACTGCAGTAATTGTATAATTACAGAAAAAAATACTTGCCTGGACATTTCTAGAATAATAACAGGAATTCACTATATCAGATGGATTCTTAGTTTCCTATTTGTGTATGTAAGATGTACAAAATGTTTACTTTTGTAGAAAGGAATGAAATTGAGTTAAATGTATTGTTTTCCCAACCTCAAACAAAAACTATCAAACAATCAAATCATTTCATATCCATAGTAACAACAGTATACCTGTTTTGTTGGCAAATGAAGGTTACCTGTGTGACAGTAGGGCCCCATTGGAAATATTAAAGAGTTTTATAACCATAAATATTTTATCAATACTGTCTATTTATCCTCTTAACTTAATACATGTATACTATGTTTATGAATAAATATATGATATGTATTTGCTGTACTCGTGTAATCATTGAAAGATCCATTTGTTTAAGACCAGAATTCAAGTTGTCGCCCTTGGATGACGTCATTGGGGGTATAAGCTACGACCTGAAGTACATTTATAAAGGGATATAAAGATCTTAATCCTTAGTACCCTTGTAAGAACACCAAATTGAAATTGCCAAAATTTTGTGTAATTGAATAAGATATAAAGGTTGGTCAAATGATTCCAAACTATCATGTATCTTAATACTCTTACCGACCTGTGCGTTAAAGATAAAGTGGTGTATTTTTTATTGGTGATAATCTTTTGCAGTAAGCAGGTTTATTTGGACTACACTGACCCGATAACCATACAACTCCCGTTTTAAAGTGGTTTGTCCATTGTCTAAGCTATTAATTGTTAATTGAGTGGAAAGGTTGTACATGTAATAGCCAGAAAACTGTATGATAATCTATATTATGGTTTGATTTTTTAACATTTATTTTTTTGTTCAAAGCTTTTATTACTCACTGCAGCTAAAAACTCTTGTTCCATGTTGATGATTGGTTATATATGGACATTTATATATACATGTACAAACGTTTTCTGAAGAAACTTTAAAAGGCGATTGTTTTTATTGAACAAGTTGTATCCATTAACTAAGTTTTAATTAGTAAATTTTATATTCTGACATTTCCATCTGTAAGACTTAAAAGGGACTCCACTGAGGTTTTTTGACATGACAGGACTGGAAATATTTTTTTGAGATTATTACTCCATTTGATGTAGATCTATACTAATAGCACTTGTGCAAAATTTCAGATCATTAGCTCGCTCCGTTTTTCCAGAATAATTATTATAATAGAGAAAAATGACCAAAAATTAAAAAGCGTTTAAGGTGACAACAGACACTTTCCGTGGTAATCACATAAATGTCATTTAAACCAACTTATTTTAGTAATAATTGTTATTTATTTAATCTTTTTGCATTAAATGTCGTTGATCATCATAAAAAATAACATATTTGAAAAAAATGTCTTTGTAAATGATTGATTTTTAATAAAAATCCTAAAATTTTAAATCGCCATATCAAAGTCATTTTTTATTTTTTTGTCATCAAACTTTTGGAAAATAAACATACTTATAATATCTGGGGAACCGTGTCTCAAATTTTGTCTATCTTTTCTCAAAAAAATATTACGTAACGTCAAACATTTTATGCGACTTTTTTCACCATACATATTACGTAATTAAAGATAATTAAGTCGCTGATTGAGCAAACAAAAATCCCTGACACGGTTCCCTCCGTAAATGAATTCCCTTTCATGTGCTTTAAACCGCATGTTAATTGCTTGATTATTAAAAAAGTTATGCCGATTCAAAGTTAGTCCGATCCGCATCAAACGAAGTGTCATAAATTGGCTGTTCTCTCTCGGACCCCTACGTTTCACGCTAAATAATTACATAATACACAAATATCGCACCAGAGAGGGTCACAAGTTGCGGTAACATACACTAACAACATTTTAGAACAGAACAGAACAGAACATATCTTTTATTCACCCAGGAACAAGAAGATATAATATCGTACAACATGGGGTTATTACGAAATTTACATGAACACAAAATAATACAGTATCCGGTCAATGAGTGTTACAATGGTACAAAATCGTAAGAAAAAGAGAAAGAGAAAAGAAAAAAAAATGAAATGAAATATAAGTTTTAAAAATTGATTGCTATTTAGAAACACGTGGGTTGCTGGAGACGGGGGAATGCTCACATTAAATCAACATTAAATAAATACTGATGTCACTCGGTTAATTTTTTTTTTTATTTATTTTATTTTCATGAATCGAGTGCGACTTTCAAGAAAAAACACGAGAAAAGTAGTCCGCTATCTATGAATGGAATTCCACATAACTGTTAATTGGGTTACTACTAGAATACGATTGGCTGTTAGTAAAGATTTCAGTTTGCCATTGGATAACTTACTGGAACAAAGCTAAAAATAAAAATAATTGTTCCGTACAGAATAGGGGCATGTTTACGTACAGAAGTGTTATTACAGGTTAAATTATCGTATAGTAAAGGTGAATTGGACTTAATTGACATTGTCTGGTAAGTGCATACGTTCATTTATAGTTTCATAAGAGTATGAATTGGTTTTAAGCTTTGTAGTTAAAAAAAAAAAATACATATAAAATGACATTTCTTTTCATAATTAATATTATGTGCAAAAATAACAAAAATAAATATAAGTAAAGATAAATAAAAAGAGGTAAAAAGAGAGGTATTGGTATCTTATCACTTGTATAGGGGCCTATCAGAAATTTTTTAATATAAGTCGTATGAAGCCACATACTTTCGAAAGTGTCCTTACGGAAGTTGATGTTAATAGAAGCTTAAAACCATAATCTGATACGGTATTTTCATGAAAGTTGATTTATCTGAAGAGTGTTCTTCTTTCATTTTGAAAACGGTCACAGTTTAACAAATAATGTCGTTCCGAACCTATTTCATTACGGGTACATAAATTACATTTTCTTTCTTGAAGTAAGGTTCCATCCCATCTGCCCGTTTCAATTGGGAGCCTGTGATTTGCAGTTCGATATTTAAATAAAGTGATACAATCACGCATTGGTAATAGCTTTAAATAGTTTTCAAAATCTGGGCTTTCTTTAAAGTTACTGTAAATTATGCCTTTATTAGACAACTGAATTTGTGAATGCCATGTTTGTCTAAATTGATCTATAAGTGTTTGTTTTACTGATCTATGTATATATTTTTCTATTATATTATGTTGATTTTGCCAAAGATCTGGTCTCCCTACCCCATTTAGAATACTTTTTATTTTATGACCCAGTGACATCTGACCAATTAAAAAGTTGCTGATTAATATCAGTTTATAACAGAAATTTCTTCACATCTTAACGTGATTTACCGTTAGTCTGGTATCGGTTGCACATATCACGTGACTTTCGGTAAAATTTGAGGCACTCGGGGGGGGGGGGGGGGGGGAATGGGACGTATTTGTGCACCGCTAGCGGGATATTTAATTGTTTCACATTTGAAGTTTATTATTATTATCATCAGCATTATTATTATATTATACCAGTGTCACTCTATCTGTGTACTCGTGTATGAAATTCCGTTAAAATATAAATTAAAATAACAAAAAAAACTGAGCTTCTGACAGTATTTTAAAGTCCATGGTAGATGTACAAATAAGAACGGGATTTTATATATTTTTTCCTCCAAATTGATATAAATGCTTCACATATTTTAATAGAAATAAAAGGTATCACTCGATCATTATGATCTGACCTTCTTGACTTCTATTGTCATGAAAATCATCTATGCACGGCATAGAGATCCAGTTTCTACTGGGATATACAACAAATTCCAAACTTTCTCCCAGGTTTATTAGTACTGTGTTCGATTTACTAGCGAACAATTTATTCAAAGCATTCACTGATAATTTATTTTATTATCTTTTTTTATTGATTCATAGAGAAATAATCATGCTTAGACAACCTAAAATGGTTTAGAAATTTGTCAGGGAGGCCTTACCACAAGTCATATAGGCGTTCACATAAAAAATGTTGTCTGTTGTTGTTGTTGTTTTACTTGACATTGTTAGAAAACGAGGTTGAATGTAAAGCAAGCCCTTGAATCCGTACAAAAGTCCATAAACTCAATGTAATATCTATCAGATTAACGGGACAGACAAATTATTTTCACACATTATGGATATTTTAGCAACTATATTTTTAATCAACCCCGTGGTCGTGCGATTTGTCGCTATGCTTAATTATTTATGTTTCATACATTATGTTACGTACATTGGCCGACAATTTCTTATTTTATAAAAAAGGCTAAATAAAAGGTAGACGATATTCATAAAAGATGTACGGTATTTGTACGATACATGAATTACGAGTAGTATGGACCAGTATGGACCGGTAATTCACGCATATATGGAACTACCGATTTCCCTCATTGATGCCTCAACAGGGGGCGGAGCGTTATCGATAATTGACAGGTTACGCGATAGCAGATAAAAATAGTACAGGTACCGTTTTAAAACGTTTAAAAACACATTTTTTGGACTAACTGCTTCCAAAATTAAATCACGAATGTGTTCAGAAAAGGTTGATAAATATACTAAGCAAAAAATCTCATTTTAGTATTTTCAGTGATAATTGACTCCGTTGTCACCTTAAACGCTTTTCACTTAAATAGAACTGAAAATAGCGCAAACATATGACTTGCAATGTATTTCTTGTATATTTCTTAACTATATTTTATTTATATTTCTGTTTTAAATGCTCATGTTTATCTATGTGAAAAATTAAAATTTTATGTTTTAGGCTTGTAAACCTCAGTGGAGTTCCTTTAACTAAAATACAACTCCCATTTTAAGGTGGTTTGTCTAAGCTATTAATTGTTAATTGAGTGGAAAGGTTGTACATGTAGTAGCCAGAAAACTGTATGATAATCTATATTATGGTTTGATTGTTTAACATTTTATTTTATTTGACTAAGCTTTTATTACTGCTAAAAACTCGTGTTCCATGTTGATGATTGGTTATATATGGACATTTATATATACATGTACAAAGGTTTTCTGAAGAAACTTTTAAAAGTGATTGTTTGTCATGAAACTTCATTGGTAATGTAGATCTATATAATTTTATTGGTATTTATTGTATTGTGTTCTGCTCTGTTACCAATAAAGGAACGTTTATTATGTTTATATTATCACAGGAACTTGATAATTAAATCAATAGATCACAAAATATACGAATATTTAAGGTATAGCCCTTATCTCCAAAAAAAATTTCAAGTTCCAGTGATAATATACATCCCTGCAGGATCCGTTTGAAAAATTAAATTAGGGTCCTCTGACCAACATTGCAATTTACACGATAACATTACTATTACGACACCAAATCGAAGATGGACCTCGGATCGAAAAACGAAGAATATTTTCATATAATTTCAAGGTAATGAAGTATATTTTTAGATAAAATTTACATAATTAATCATATTTAATCGTTGTTGACATTTTGGAAATAGAAAATTGTGATTATTGCCCTGTGGGTTTATAAAAATACCCTCTGTGTTTTTGCAATTGGTTTTCGCGACATATTAATTTTTTTTCTCGCGAAGTTGTCAATCCTTTTGTCCCCATCAGCAGGTAGTCATGTACAAAAGGTTTAGTTTAGTTTAGTTCACGGTTTTCTAATTAAGTAAATATTTGATGTCTCTGTTTTGAAATTCCACAGATGTATTGTTTTTCATTTTTTTAAACTTTCAACAAAGAATGAAATGGTGGTTTTCAAAAATTGAAGGTTTTCACTGGTCATTTTATTTCGTTTAAAAATGATATTGAGATTTAAAAATTAGTATGAAATTAGTTGCTACCTATGGGGCAGAAAGCTCATATGATATAATAATAGTAAGCATTACATTTTACATGTCTTTCTTGCACTTTGTAAATAAGTAAAAGTAGGTATTTTGTACCTTAAACAGAAATAAATAAATTTGTGGTGTTCAACCTATCATCATATGCTATGAAAATATATTTCCGAAAATATCCAAACTCCTAATAGTGATTTGCTTGGCTATGTTCTGTGACAGTGAAGCGAAGAAAAGGGGGACCACTGCGTCAGAGTTGGAAAATCCTGTCCATCATTTTTTATTTATCTTAAATCACAGTTGATGTTTTAAGATTATCATTAACAGGCTGGTGAAAATGCCCGATCGAGCTTATGACATAAAAATCATATTTCTAGAAAAATAAAGATATTTCTTCTAAACTTTGTTTGTTTATTGAGCATAATATATGACTTAAACAGAAAGAAAATATTTGGTTACTGTCACTGTTGTGAGATTTATTTCCCCTTTTTCATGTTTATATAACACATAATTTTTGAATACATTGGAATACATACATACCATGTTTCCAGCCACCCAGACAGGGGATTTGGCTTTAAAAGCACGGGACATTGGTGATTTGGCAATCTCGTTGATTAGACTCCTATGTATATTTCAGAAGTAAAACTTGTGTATAAAACTTTAAAGAAAATGGAATGAACCTTATATATATTCCTGGTTTAGACCACGGGGTCTTTTCCAGGATATAGCCGTTGATTCTTTCAGCATTATATGTTATTATACATCAGGAATTAAGTGATTTCTTCAATTATTTGATGTATAATTCAAATTCTTGATACAAAAAATGGTTTTATTTTACAGTGACAGTGAGGAAGATGTGAGGTCATCATCTAAAAATAGAAAAGATAAAAAGAAACACAAGAAACATAAGCATAAGCACAAGCATGATAAGACGTCAGACAAACACAGACATAAACACAAGAGGAGAAAAACAAGAGACAATAGATCAGATGAAGAGAACGAGTATATAAATGAATCAAAACGTCGCAAGATGGGGAATGAATCTGAACTTGGTAATGAGGCGGGTTTTGAAGAATCTGATTTAGAGAAATTGGAAGCTGCAAGGGCAGCTCTCAGGGCAGAGTTGAATGGTGTCTCCGATGATAGGTACGATGCTCTGTTAGAGGAGCAGTATAATGCTCTAAGTGCTCAATTAAAGGAGTATTCCGACCAGCAGGCTGACTCTGGTAATGAAAGACCTGAAAAATATGATGATCACATTGAATCTGCAGATTTCTTTCGACCAGAGTTACAACTTGCTATAACTATTAAAGGTGATTCCCGCGATGAAAGCCGGTCTGTTGCTGGAAGAGGAGCAAGTGGAAGCTCCAAACGAAATAGGAACTATAGAGAAGAAACAAGTAGATCTCAGGGTGACTTTGGTGATAGTAACGTAGATGTTGTAGGGATGAATAAATCCACATCAATCAATCTGATTGCAGATTATGGCTCCAATGAAAACAGTGATTCAGAAGAGGAAGGGGAAATAGGTCATGAAGAAGTTGGTAAAGATGACCTAGCTGATGAACTTTTAGAATATGCTATGAATGAAGATGAATATGCAAGAAAGTATAGACCTGAAAGTTCTGGCCATAGAAAAGAGGAAACATTTAAAAGCTTTGAAAGAGAATATGAAGAAATACGGAAAAGGAGAGAGAGAGAAAAAGAAAAGAAAAAAGAACGTGAAAGAAAGGAAAAGGAAAGAGCTGAAAGAAAAGAAAAAGAAAGAAGGAAAGAAAAAGAAAAGAAAGAGGCACGAAGAAAGGAGAAGGAAGATGCCAGAAGACAAAAAGAAAGCCAAAGAGCAGCAGAGAAAATAGCTGAAAGAGAAAAGGAAAGATCAAGGTAAGTGGTACTACAGTAATATGCTTTATTAGAACTTAATTATTTTTGAAAATCTGTTGATGGCATTGAATAAGGAAGGTAAGTAGAAATAATAATATCTGGTCATGAATATGTTTATAAAACACCATTAAGAATTCTGGTGTAACAAATTATGTGTACTTTATTTTGCAATTTAAAGTAACTTAGTTAGATATAGAATAAATTATTCTTGTCAAACATCGGGCTGAGTGTTTAATGTTTGTAACTTGAAATCACTGTTTGCCACACAAATCGGTTAGTTCAAATCTGGCTGGGAAATTTTAGTTCATTTATGTAATGAAACTTTACTGCTTGTTTACATGAATTTTGATGGACCTACTCAGGTGCCTGTTTAGTCCCTGAAATGTAACCCAGAGAGAGATACATAAGGTGTTCATCCACCTGCAAAACTGGACTTTCGTTATATGATTCTTTTACAGTGACAGTGTGACTAATACCTAATGAAAATATGTCTAGAAGTGCAAACTGTCTAAGTAAAGATAAATAAACTGTGCTTAAAGAGACTTATTTTAGTTTGACATTACTTTACGTGGCATAAAGAAGTTCAAATCAAATTAATCCAGCAGTTTATTACTGTCTAAGATATACCTGAAGTAAAAATGATGTAGCTTTCATGTTCGATATTCATTCTGATTCAAGTATATTATGATATAGAATTATATTCTATATACTGTAAACATTTACGACAGAGAATATTAATGACATTTTAGAGAATGTAAACTTTACAAGTTTTCAATTTGCAGATCGAAGTCAAGAAATGTTGATTCCCGTCAGGAATTTCACGAGGAAAGGAGGAGAGAGTCTCGTCTTGAAGATCATCGTAGAACTGAGAGTTATCAACGTTTGGAGGATCGCCACAGAATGGAGGATCTACGAAGACAAGAGGATAGGGAGAGTAGGATGAGAGATAGGGAGAGAGATATAAACAGGGGTCGTGACCTGCCAAGAGACCCTAGAAGGTTTGGTTTTATTTTGCTTTTTGTTTAACTTTTTTCTTAGATGTAAGATGTTTTTAGCGACTTTTTAAAGATTTAAGTATTTTTACTTATTTTTTCTTTCAATGTTTTAAGATTAGTTGATGATTGATAATCTTTTAATTTAATTCCCATGTATAATCAATTTTTCCATGACAGTTATTATAAATTATATAAATTTTCAGAGACAGAAGTTCTTCCCGTGGATGGCGAAGGTCAAGAGATCGACAGATCAGTCCACAAAGGCGCGGTCAAGGTCGACGGTCAAGGTCACGAGATAGAAGAAGTAGGTCACGGGATCGTAAGAAACAAGAAGATCAAGATAAGTTTAAAGGCAGTTTGTCAGAGGGTTTGTTTGTACAGAAGGAGCAGTCTTCTGATGAGGAAGTGTAAGAAATTTATTTAATTCAAAAACGCAAAAAAAAAGAAACAGCTGGGCTCACTCTGCTATTTGCTATATTAATCATTTGATAAAATTCTATGAGTTTTGTTACAGAATTTTATGCCAATATTACACTATTATGTTTTAATTTTGTATGAAACTGGAAAATCTCTCAGATTTGAAGTAGTCTAACAGAAATGTTCCACAAGATATGTTTGTTCATGATAGATATGCTCTTACATTTGGCATTAAACTAAATGTAATGTTTTTGGATTTGACATTGACTTAAATGTTATGTTTTCAGATTTGACATTGACCTAAATGGTATGTTTTCAGATTTAACATTGACCTAAACATTATGTTTTCAGATTAGGCAGTGACCTAAATGTTATGTTTTCTGATTTGACATTGACCTAACTGTTATGATTTCTGTTTTGACTTTGATGTAAATGTTTTAGTGAAAATGTCAAATGATTTAAGTTTTAACATTGACGTAAATGTTTTAAGTGTTGACGTTGATCCAGATGAAGAAGAAGATGAAGAGACGTTAATTGAAAGGCGAAGAAAAGAAAGAGAAGCGCTTTTACAGGTATTTGATTATCAAATTATTGAATGATTTTTTCTTGTAAAGATTTTGACAATAGTTATAGTGCTTTGTTGTTATGTTTTATGCTTAACATTGAAAATATTAGTTTAACCACTGAGATTTTAGCAATAAAAATAAGACATTGTAAAGATGTTAAAGGTATAAATATAGATGGGGAGGAATATAAAATTACACAATTTGCTGATGATACTTCACTTTTGCTAGATGGATCAGAAAATTCCCTTAATACTGTTTTAAAGTTATTAAATACGTTTTCAGAAATTTCAGGATTGAAAGTAAATTTTGATAAAACTAAAGTTATTTGGATAGGCTCCCTTAAATACAGTACAAGATCTATTAAGACAAAATGGAAACTGACGTGGGGTGATACACAGTTTAAATTGTTAGGTTTGATATTTGATGTTGATTTAGAAAAAATGATAGTTAAATTTTAATGAAAAACTTCAGAAAGTTAAAAAAAGTATTGGATACTGGAAAAAAAGAATGTTAACATCAATAGGAAAAATTACTGTTGTTAAGTCATTACTCCTTCCTTTATTCACTCATTGCTTTACAAGTTTACCAACACCTAATTCAGCATTTTTGAAAACACTTAATGACTTATTTTATAAATTTATATGGGAAGGTAAAGCGAAGATAAAGCAATCAGTAGTTATTAAAAAATATCAGGAAGGTGGTCTTAATATGATTGATATTGATAGTTATATACATTCTGTAAAGATAAAATGGTTTAAAAGATATGTTAGTAATAGTAACAGTAAATGTTATAAGCTAGTGATGGCTTTATTCAATATTGATAAAGTGTTCAGCACAGGTAAATTGTTTTGTAAATTGACAATTGATAAAATTAAAAATGCTTTTTGGATAGATGTTTTAAAAGCTTATATGATTTTTAGCTCGACTATTCGATAAGAATAAGTAGAGCTATTGCAGTCGCCCGAGCGTCGGCGTCCGCGTCGGCGTCGGCGTAACCACTTATGTTAAAGTTTTTGTAATAGTTCAAAGTCCATAGACATATGGCTTTGAAACTTTGCACACTTGTTCACCATCATGACCCTAACCTGTAGACAGGAGGAGGTAACTCTATCAAGCATTTTGACAGAATTATGCCCCTTTTTCGACTTAGAATTTACGTTAAAGTTTTTGTAACAGTTCAAATATTTTCAAAGTCCATTATCATGTGACATTGAAACTTTGCACATTTTTTTTACCATCATGACCCTAACCTGTAGACAGGAGGAGGTAACTTTCAAGGATTTTGACAGAAATATGTGTCCCTTTATTTAGAATTTACGTTTAGGTTTTTGTAACACCTCAAATATTTACAAAGTCCATTGACAATTATAGCTTTGAAACTTTACACACTTGTTCACCATCATGACCCCAAATACCTGGAAACAGGAGGAAGGTAACTCTATCAAGCATTTTGACAGAATTATGCCCCTTTTTCGACTTAAAATTTACGTTAAAGTTTTTGTAATAGTTCAAATATTTTCAAAGTCCATTGACATATGGCTTTGAAACTTTGCACACTTGTTCACCATCATGACCTCAACCTGTAAACAGGAGGAGGTAACTCTATCAAGCATTTTGACAGAATTATGCCCCTTTTTCGACTTAGAATTTACGTTAAAGTTTTTGTAATAGTTCAAATATTTTCAAAGTCCATTGACATATGGCTTTGAAACTTTGCACACTTGTTCACCATCATGACCCCAACCTGTAAACAGGAGGAGGTAACTCTATCAAGCATTTTTTTTACTATCAAGCACTAAGAATAGTCGAGCGTTGCTGTCCTACCGACAGCTCTTGTTACAGATAAACTTTGTATAGACAGTTTAGAACAAGTGTTACAAATGCCATTGTTTTACAATCATAACTTGTTAGTAGGAAATAGATACTTTTATATTAAATTTTTTTATGAAAATGGAATCAGATTTGTTAATGATATTATTAATCCCCAAGGCGATTTTGTAGATTTAACTTACTTAGAGCAGGTGACACAAAAACAAGTAAATTTTTTTACAATATCATAGTTTGAAAAAAGCAATATTTTTATATACGCAAAAGCTTAACATTTCTATTTGTAAAGATTTTATTAATGTTCAATACCCTATTATGAGTTATTATATTAAACCTATTTTAATTACACAAAATAACAAAAAGTATGTTTATGAAATTCTAGTTAAAAATCAAGATGTACCAACATGTCAAGAAAAATGGAAGTCATTTTTGACAAATTTTGATATAAATTGGAATTTAATATATAGTTATGTATTTAAATGTACCAAAGATTCCTATATTCAGTGGTTTCAGACAAGAATAATTCATAGAACTTTAGCAACAAACTCTCTTTTATTCAAAATGAAAATTGTTAATAGTAAAATGTGTACTTTTTGCAATTGCCAAGAGGAAACTCTGTTGCATTTATTTTGGGAATGTCCAAAAATTCAATCGTTATTTCAATATCTGAAAGACAAGATAGATAATTTTAATGATAATTTTAATTGTAAATCATTTATTTTAGGTTCTGAAGTAAATGATTTTAAATATGATATTTTGTTTTTAGAATTGAAAAGATATATTTATTTGTCAAAGAGAAAAAAACATATTACCTACAATACCTGGTTAACCAGGTTTTCCGAAGGAAAAAACTGGTTATTAGATTGAGGTATGTCGGCGGGCGGGCGGGCGGGCGTAAACAATTTCTTCTGTGCGCAACTCCTCCTACATTTCTCAACGGATTTTGACCAAACTTTCACAGAAGCTTTGTCATCAAGTGCCCTGGCGCATATTGTCGGGGTTTTGCGATTAGATAATATTTGACCTAAATTATGGCCCTTTGTTTTTTTTCCTTATATAAAATATATAGTGAACAATTTCTTTTGTGCGCAACTCCTCCTACATTTCTCAACAGATTTTGACCAAACTTTCACAGAAGCTTTGTCATCAAGTGCCCTGACACATATTGCCAGGGTTTTGCAATTGGTATATATTTGACCTAATTATGGCCCTTTGTTTTTTTTTCCTTATACAGAATATATAGTGAACAATTTCTTCTGTGCGCAACTCCTACATTTCTCAACAGATTTTGACCAAACTTTCTCAGAAGCTTTGTCATCAAGTGCCCTGACACATGTTGCCAGGGTTTTGCAATTGGTATATATTTGACTTAATTATGGCCCTTTGTTTTTTTTCCTTATACAGAATATATAGTGAACAATTTCTTCTGTGCGCAACTCCTACATTTCTCAACGGATTTTGACCAAACTTTCACAGAAGCTTTGTCATCAAGTGCCCTGACACATATTGCCAGGGTTTTGCAATTGGTATATATTTGACCTAATTATGGCCCTTTGTTTTTTTTTCCTTATACAGAATATATAGTGAACAATTTCTTCTGTGCGCAACTCCTACATTTCTCAACGGATTTTGACCAAACTTTCACAGAAGCTTTGTCATCAAGTGCCCTGACACATGTTGCCAGGGTTTTGCAATTGGTATATATTTGACCTAATTATGGCCCTTTGTTTTTTTTCCTTATATAGAATATATAGTGAACAATTTCTTCTGTGCGCAACTCCTCCTACATTTCTCAACGGATTTTGACCAAACTTTTACAGAAGCTTTGTCATCAAGTGCCCTGGCGCATATTGTCGGGGTTTTGCGATTAGATAATATTTGACCTAATTATGGCCCTTTGTTTTTTTTCCTTATATAAAATATATAGTGAACAATTTCTTTTGTGCGCAACTCCTCCTACATTTCTCAACAGATTTTGACCAAACTTTCACAGAAGCTTTGTCATCAAGTGCCCTGACACATATTGCCAGGGTTTTGCAATTGGTATATATTTGACCTAATAATGGCCCTTTGTTTTTTTTCCTTATACAGAATATATAGTGAACAATTTCTTCTGTGCGCAACTCCTCCTACATTTCTCAACGGATTTTGACCAAACTTTCTCAGAAGCTTTGTCATCAAGTGCCCTGACACATATTGCCAGGGTTTTGCAATTGGTATATATTTGACCTAATTATGGCCCTTTGTTTTTTTTCCTTATATAGAATATATAGTGAACAATTTCTTCTGTGCGCAACTCCTCCTACATTTCTCAACGGATTTTGACCAAACTTTCTTAGAAGCTTTGTTATCAAGTGCCTGGCACTTATTGTCGGGGTTTTGTGATTGGATAATATTTGACCGAATTATGGCCCTTTGTATATTTTTTCCTTATACAGAATATATAGTGAACAATTTCTTCTGTGCGCAACTCCTCCTACATTTCTCAACGGATTTTGACCAAACTTTCTTAGAAGCTTTGTTATCAAGTGCCTGGCACATATTGTCGGGGTTTTGTGGTTGGATAATATTTGACCGAATTATGGCCCTTTGTATATTTTTTCCTTATACAGAATATATAGTGAACAATTTCTACAGTGCGCAACTTCAAAAATTAAGCAAAAATAAAGTACTGTTTACCTTTCTAAAACATTTGGGGAAAAAAGGCTAATAGACAAAATAAAATTTCTCAATCATTTTTGTTTGAGGAATATTAAAAAAGCCATAATTCCTCCTAAAAATTCAATTAAAAACAAATACCCCTTCATGACAAAGCTTCTGTGAAATATTTTGCTGAAAACCTGGTTGCATCGCATTGCGATGTTCCTTGTTTTAGAAATAGTCTTAAATTGGCGTGGAATATTTACAAAAATACAAATTTGACCAAACATGTAAATGAAGGATGGCAAATTGTAAGAACTTTAATTAACTAATGGGCTACACTAAATTAATTTACCCCAAATCAATATTCTTTGTTTGTTTAAATCTTTTGCATAATACATTATCATACATAATTGTTATACTTATTATATGAAAATTGATTGAATGTTTGAATATAATGTATTATATTGTAATTATATTATTATAGATGATGATTTAAATATTATGTAGATATCATGTAAGGTATCAGAGGGATGACCCCGACCCTCTCATACCTATTACAGGGTTAATAGACGGGGTTACCCAGTAGGGACTCAAAAAAAAAAAAAAAAAAAAAAGAAGTTTAACCACTGAGATAAAGTCAGTATTGATCAAAGGCCTTGACAAATCCACTTGCCCACTCGCATTTGCGAGTAAAAGTTCAGGTCAAGCGAGAAAAAAATTGATCAAACTCGACCCAATAGGGCGAGTAAGATACTCCCGATCCAATTGACGTTTCCCTAGAAGCTTTAATATAAATGAAGTTATTCGATAAAAAAGTCAAACAGCAGATGCCATTTCAATTGTAATACTGTCAACCGGAAACTGACCTTATGACTAAGTATAAAACTTTAGAATGTGTATGATGAATCCATTCCGTAACGACAACAGCATTCTACAATGCTTTATCAAACTTATTTGGTAATTTTTTATACTTAGCCAACTGGTTGATATTTTAGCAGAATGTGTTTAAATTTGAAAGGAATAAGAATTCAGGATATGTTGAAGATATTATAATATTAGATAAACATAATTGATTATTTTTGCTCTCAGTAGTATACTGTACATAGAGCCAGTTTGGCCAGGCTTTTTGGTTCAGTTCAGTTCAGTTTTTTAGCAATTTGGCAAAATATCATGCCTTTGACCAATTTACCAATTACATAGTGAAGAATATGGTCAATACAACATGAACATATAGACAGTACAAACTACAGAGCTTGCAAAATATACATATAACATACATAAATTGTCACAAACATACAGTAAAATGTATTGATATAATGCAAATTAAGAAAGAGCTTCTACATTGACTAATCCTTTTCTTATTTGAAATGCTTCATACAAATATTTGGCAGTTTTACATAAGTTATTTTTACTCTTACATGACAGAATGTTTGAAAATCTTTGCATACTAGGTCATGAACAATTACCTAAATAAATTTAGTGTTGGGAGCTCAAGTTTTCGTTTTGTTAATTGAAATCCCATAATTTTTTTTTAAGGACCAATCAAAATTCAAAGAAAGACAATGATCATTATACAAGTTAAGAAGGTCAAGGGTTTGATTTTTGTGCTCACACTGTTACAAGCAGGGATTGTTACTTGAATTTTATTAAGTTTGATTAGGGTGCTGCCAAAATTTTACAGGAAATATGATTTCATTTACAGAAACTAAAGCAAAGTGAAGATCCAGAGATTAAGCCACAGTCAAATTTAGTGAACCAGTCTGTAGAAGAGACTGAAGAAACGCAAAACCAGTCCACAGGTATTATCATAGACATGGGACCAGTCCAGCCCACACAGCAGCAACAACAACAACAAGGTACCTTTTTAACAAGTCTTTTAATGCATTGATTGTAAAGGATATATCATTATATGTTTGTAAAAGTTCAGAATAATTCTTTATATTCCATCAAGTGAAAATTAAGCATATTTCAGGTTTACAATCATGAAAGTTTGGCATATTTCTTAACATTACATGTCTGATAATGATAGAAAGGCTGTACTATTCAGACTCTATACTTTTAGTTGCTCAATTATTAAAATCCATAAACTTAATACAAATAGTTCCAAAGTGAAAGCAGGACACATCCATTATACAAATTCAGCATGTTACGGGCTCGATCATTTTTTTTTTCTTTGAGTTTCAGATATACCATTTGAAGGTCCACAAAGTCCAGATGCCCCCGCTAGTCCCCAGATATCGACCAGTGACAGTTCAAGCAGCTCATCATCATCTTCATCATCATCGTCATCATCATCTGATCATAGTGATACTGAAAAAATGGATAGACAAAAACTTGATAATAAGAAGAAAAATGAAAGAAAAATGAAAATTCCAGATGAAGATGTAGATAAGAAACCTTTGGATAGAGATTCGAGTTATAGAACTAAAGTGTCAAGTGAGAGTGAAGATCTTTATAGGGAAGGTAGCAAAGAGAAATATATAAGTGGAAGAAAAGAAAGGAAAGATGAAGAAAGTGATAAAAGTAAAAAGAATGTTAAAGACAATAGGAAACTGGAGAAGAAAAATAATGACAGTGAAGAAGAGTTAAGACAAAGGATTATGAATAGAATGAAAAATGGGAGTAAGGAGACTAGCAGAAATGATGAAAGTGATGATGAAAGGAAAGATAGAAAGAAGGACAAAAAAGGTGATGATAAGAGTGAAAGAAGAAGGAAGAGAGATAGTAGTGAAGAGCTTGAGAAAAGTTATAAAAAGATTGAAAAGAAGAAAGAGAAGAGAAGAGAGGGTTCACGGCATGAGAGAAGTGATGGGCGAGATGATTCAAGGAGGAAGAAGTATGATGATGATTATTCATCAGATAGCAGTGATAAAAGAAAACAAGAAAGATATAGACGAGGGGAGCGTACGAAATCAAGAAGAGATGGTGATGAAGATCGGTATGATAGCAAAAGAAGAAGCAGGAGATACGATGATGATGATTATTATAAAAAAGACAGTCGAAATAGGGACAGAAAAAGAACTTCTAAACGTTACAGTAGTTCTAGTGAAGATGAAGATAGGTCAAATGATAGGACTAATAGAGGGAAATCAGGTTCTAGAAAAGATAAAGAAAGGTCCGAGCGAAGTAGTGAACGCAGTGATAAAAATAAAACAAAGGAGAAATCTGATAAGGAGGTTGAAGAGAAAAGTGAAGCTGTGGAAAGTGGTAAAGATCTGAAGATATATGATAATCTAGAAGATGAAAATACAACTGATTTTGAAGAGACTGTAAAACAGAAACGATTGTCCCTAGAAGGATTTGATGAAGGTATGTCATATTTTTTATAGGGAATGGGACTGCTGTTGGGAAGTGTACAGTGGAATTTTTGAAGTCAAGAAGGATTTTGATGACAGTGTGTTATTTTTTCTTGTTGTGAAAGTTAGTGGGGGGAATAATTTCTGTTAAATCTTATAGTCCTAGTTAAGACACAGTTCAGTGTGTGTCTGTGGACAAGTGGTACTTCAAACCACTTGCCTCTCACTGTTGTGGGTTTGAATCCCATCAGGGACTTTGAATTTTTTTAATGTGAGTAAGCAAGCTATCTATATTTTGAGTAGGAAGCTATCCAGCTAACTTACAGAACATCTGCGGTCTACTGAAGGGCACATTTATGAGTGAAATTACTCTAGAAACCAAACCATAATAGAGTCAAATTAAAAAAAAAATTGTCTTAATTCTGTTACACTAAATAATTTTTATTTCAGAAGAGAGTAAGGATGGTGAAGGAAAAGAAAAGTCGTCTAAATGTGTGGACATGTTCTCAGAAGATGCAGATATGTTCTCTGAGAACTACAATGTAAGTTTATATATGTATTCTTTATTTGTTTTATTAATTGTTGTTAATTGTTTGTTAAGGTTAATTGCCTTACAGTATGTAAACAAAATCTCTTTACCCTGTTTTGCAAGCCTATACAGTTCAATGTGATAACAAGCATTTGTAACATCCAATCACTGAACCCTTCTTGGGAGCCTATATATTTTAACTTGAACCTTTCTTGAGATAACAGAAAGTAGACTTGTTTATAAATATACTGTGGACTACTGTGAACTAGTAGTCCAAAATCATAACCCTTCAGTCAACATTCTTAGACTTTCTAAAGAACTTGTGTATTTTTTGTACAGCCGATATTCCTATCTAAAGGTTAATTAGAAATTGTTAGAATTTATTTCAGAAGAGTTGTATACATAAGACTGGCTCACTTTTATTTACCATGTTGTTTTACTTGCAGTCCCCAAACTTGTCAGCTTACAAGACAGGGAAGAATGAGAACCCAACATTGATGGACAACTGGGATGATGCTGAAGGCTATTATAGTAAGTACTGGAACCATTCTATGTTACCAGCTTGGTCATTGGTCAATTTTGATACCAGTCCTGTGTTACCAGCTTTGTCATTGGTCAATTTTGACATCTGTGTTACCAACTTTGTCCTTTGTGACTTCTCACATTTGTGTTAATAGCTTTGTCATTGATTAATTTTGACATCTGTGTAACCAGCTTTGTCATTGGTGAATTTTGACTTGTATGCAACCAGCTTTGTCATTGGTCAATTTTGACTTGCATGTTACCAGCTTTGTCATTGGTCAATTTTAACATCTGTGTTAATCGCTTTGTCTCATTAGTTAATTTTGTAAAATTGTATGATGTCATGAAGGTCTTAAGAAATTTTAGTTCTATTTTGCTACCATTCAAAGTATAAAATTGGAACCAGAATTCTATATTTCATTAAGTTTTAAACTGTGATATATGACTTTTATGTCATTTATTTGATATAGTATCCCACGACATACGATCAGCCTCACATTTTTACTGGATACTTCAAACATGAATAATTGCATGAGTAAACAATATTAAACATTTAAAAGAAACAAAAGAAAAAGAACCTGTCAACTACTGTTTGTATTTTTGATTAACAGGGGTTCGTATTGGTGAGATATTAGATAAACGATACACTGTGTATGGATATACCGGACAAGGAGTGTTCAGTAATGTTGTAAGGGCAAGAGACCAGGCTCGTGGGAATCAAGAAACTGCGATCAAGATTATTAGGAACAATGAAATGATGTGAGTTGAAATACTTCCGTAATTTATTAGTATTTTGCAAGTAAAACTGAGTTTTAAGGAACAGTGAAAAATAGTCATTCATGACAAGTTTCTTTGTCTAAATTGAATTAACAGTTAAAATGCTTGTAGTTTTTTTGAACACTAAATCTTAGTTTAAGTCAAGTTAGAAAATTAGTTTGAAGTGTAGATAAAGTTTAGTTTAAAATCCAAAGGTTTATCAAGTTTAGTTTAAAACCCAATTATAAAAAGAAAAGAGTTGAGTTTATTTTTTGCTATTTGAATTTGATAAACATTTGTAGATTATCATTGTAGGCATAAAACTGGTTTAAAAGAGTTGGAGTTTTTGCGTAAGTTGAACGATGCTGACCCAGATGACAAATTCCATTGTCTGCGACTGTACAGACATTTCTTCCATAAAAACCACCTGTGTCTAGTGTTTGAGTCTTTAAGGTAAGTACTAGTTTAATCATATTTTATTGCTAATATATACATGTTAATATACACAGAAACAACAGGTTTTCAAAATAATAAGTAGCACAAGGGTTGTGCCTAAGTTGTAACAGCATCAGCCATAAGGTAAATTCTCTCCATGGATATCTGAACAGTTTGATAATGATTAATACAGGAATGTATACAATGTATTTGAATATAATAAACAAAACTGAAAATACTTCAATATCAAACTTGCAGGAAATGTATATGTATACCAGTTCTGTACTGAAAATGTGCAATTTAGGGCTTTATCATTTCTTTAATTGAATTTTAATTGAATTGTTAAGCATAATGAAACATACAGACCAATTATATTGAAGTTTATAATTAAAGTTAATTTCATGAGGTACATTAACTTTAAGTTGAAGAAGTTATGAAATCGTCTTCATGTATAAAACCAATTGGATCAGGCAGAATAAATTTAAATACGAATTATCTACAACATCATGTGGCTTTAATGGCTGAATGTTGAAGTTTGTTAACTTTCTATCATTTGCATTTAGCAACTACTTTTGAATACAGTATTAGATTCATGTAATCAATTACACATTTTCTGATTAATGTATCTACTGACATTTGTTACAGTATGAATCTACGTGAGGTGATGAAGAAATATGGGAAGAATATTGGTCTTCACATCAAAGCTGTGAGAAGTTATTCACAACAGTTACTGATGGCACTCAAACTTCTGAAGAAAGCCAGCCTGCTACATGCTGACATTAAACCTGATAATATTCTGGTATATCTTTTAATATGCATTTAATAACCATGTTCATTTCATTTATTTTATAAGATGCATTTTATTACTATGATTTATAAAAACAAACAAAGCATTCAAATATGCGTCATACCCATTATTATTGCACCTTAAAAATGTTTAATATTCATTGAAAAAAAGACCGTATAATCATTATCAAGGTGTTAAATGTCCATGATCAAAGCAGTTCATGACCAGAATTAAAAGTCTGTAGGCCCCATTCAATATTTCAGGTTATGCCTGAAATAATGCACTGAAAAACTCACCTGATTTCATCTTCTACTAGTAAAGATGGAAAGTTACATTATGACTGTCCTGATATTGATAAGACTTAAACCCAAAGAAATAAAAAAAAAGATTTTGAAACTCAAAATATTGAACATAGATAGAGTGAAATTCAATATATTAGTGTATGCAAGCAGTTAGATAAGGGGTCAATTATTGTCAATTTGTCAGATCTTTAGAATTGTTTGATTACAGGTAAATGATTCGAAGTTACTGTTGAAACTTTGTGACTTTGGTTCAGCATCGCATGTGTCCGAGAATGATATAACACCGTACCTGGTCAGTCGATTCTACCGAGCACCGGAAATTAGTAAGTAAACCTTGGATGTAGAAGTAAAATATAATGATTCTTTGATATGTATTAAGAATTTTTCCCCAATTTTAATAGTAACTTGGGAAAAAAAGTGATCCCTCGGAAGCAAAATTACATGAAAATTGCAGACTTGATTTGATTAAGTCTGTACATGAGTGATAATGAAAAATGCAACATCTCTCAATTTGTCTTGATTTAGAAATTGTACATTGGTTGATTGGTTTGCTTATTCTGTATATCTTATTTGAAATGGAAGTTATATTTACTGTTTGTATTTTAGCTAGACTGTACTCGGTATATGAAAGGCTGCTGTGTTTAAAGTCAGCATCCGGATTTGGTTTTGGACGTTTTTGTTCTGCAAGAGTTTGAGTTGGACCTTTTTCTTGTCAAATAAAAAATGATCAACCGTGAATAGTGATTGACTCTCTGCAAATAGTCTTAAACTATTTATTCAAGAAAGAAGTTTTTAAAGTTAGATCTAAACCATAATTTCTATGTGAGGTAATATTTGTTTGCAAATGCATTTGAAGTGTCATACATATGTGTTGTTTATTTCAATATTTCAGTCATGGGAAATGGTTACGACCATGCCATTGATATGTTTTCTGTTGGCTGCACAATCTATGAACTTTATACGGGGAAGATTTTGTTCCCAGGGACGTCAAACAACGAGATGTTGAAGTTTATGATGGACGTGAAAGGGAAGATACCAAATAAAGTAATACGTAAGAGTATGTTTAGGGATCAACATTTTGATACAAATTTCAATTTCCTATATCATGAAGTGGATAAAGTTACACACAGGGTATGTATCTTTCTAATCTTACAACTATGGGTTAACTGTATGCTTTTACAAAGCCGCTCTTAAAAATGACTATTTGTTTGCAATATTTTCCCGCTAGGCTTAAGATTTGGAGATTAAAAATTTTCCTGAAAGATACGTCTACATATCTACATGTGCATGATCGAATTTATATTATTACTGTTGTTGAGATAAAATTCTGCAAATTCATTCTGCATTTCAGTATTTTAAGTATGATGGAACTATGTTGTTGTTATTTTCATTGTAATTAATGTAAATTGTTTCATCAAATAAAAATATTATGTATAAGTCAAGATAAAAACTTTGATTATCAACATTTTATTAATGCTTTACAGTATGACAAGAGTAAATTAATTTCCAGTAGAAATTTATTTGCTTGACTGTTTCAGAGAAAAAGTTGAGCTATTACGATCGATGTTGTCGTCATTATCTTTATGCATAAACTTTTATGTAGCCTAATATTCAAATATTTTAAAAGTAATCAACATGAAACTTGAAAAATTCTTGCTTATCTTGATGAGATTCAGTTGTTAAACAAGGGGCATATTTCTGAAAAAAGCTATATTTTTGGACTTCAACAGCTGTTAACATGGCAAGTGATGCTCTTGTTTTTGAAATGAAAATTACAAACTAATTTTTTTTTCACAGGATAAAATTACTGTATTAAGTACGATATCTCCATCCCGAGATTTGTTGGCGGAACTTGTTGGGTACCAGCGATTGCCGGAGGACCAAATGCGCAAAGTTAAACAACTGAAAGACTTGTTAGAAGGAATTTTAATGCTCGATCCAGGCAAGAGGATTTCAATCAATGCAGCCCTCGCTCATCCCTTTATACAGGAAAAGATATAAAGGGAGACAATTCTGATTGACTACAGACTGAGTTAGAGAACTTGGTAGGAATTATATATATTTATGTACATATGAAATATATATAATATACTTACATTGTGATTTTGCAAATTGTTTAAAAAACATAAAGGAACATATTTTGGTCTTCTAATTGTTTAAGGTGACAGTTTGTCAACTTTCTTTTCTTTTTTTTTTTCGTTAAGGTATTGATTTTTTTTTAAATTGGAAAAGTGTGATTCAAATATTCATGGATATACTGTAGGTAATGTATGTTTTTGTTTGTTTATGTTTTATCAAGTAGAAAAATAAAGAGGATTTTATTATGATTCATAATATTTGTAACTTCAGATGATAAATTATGTGTACAAATTTACATTTTGATGCTCATTGATTTATATATTAAGGTATTTTAATTTTGAAGTTAGCATTAAGCATATTGTTTTCAAGTACTTATTATATTCCAATGTATTTTTGTTCTGTTTTTGATGAATTATGTTTTGATTTGGGTACAAGTTTTCACCTTGAATTTGCGCACAAATTGTAAATGGTTAATTTACTATGTTTACAGATTTATTCTCAGAATTACCATGACGACCTGTTCTTCAAAAACTTGTATTCCTGATAATGTGAGAAAAGATAAGTGCAAAACGAAAACCATTTAAAACACACAAACAAATATGAATGAATTAAAAAACATTTTTACAGATATTGGTTTTTATGTTTGCATATAGAAATATTTTTAATGATCTTTCAGTGAAGGTGAAAAAAATAATTATAGAAATAAAAAATTTAAAATCTTAACGATAAAGTAAAAGAAAATTTTTTTATATTAATTTGTTAGTGTTTAAAGTATTTATTGTATAAACATATACAGAATGAGATTTTATAATCGCAGTTTAGAAACCATAATTACATGTGAATATATAAATAAAATGTTAGGCTTGAAAATATTTCACAAATATTCACGGCTCTCTGTTAGATTTTTTCTTTGTGTTATTTTGTTAAACACTACATAGGAGAAACATGTATAATTCTAATTTCTGATGCTATTTTTGCATACTACTGAAGATTGTAAGAAAGAAATCACTCAAAGATATATGTTTGTATAATATGTTGATATTTTATGCAGGTACATTTGAAGATGGGGGATATTTTGAAATCCTTGGTACAGAAACAGTTTTACTTTGTCTTGGTAATCTATTTTTCTATTGTGAGTGAATATTTTTGTGGTGCCGATATTTTGTAAATCAGTGTTTTAATTATATACAGTTTATGAAAATAACTCCATATGGACAGTTTAAATGAAGAATTATGACATTTTAATAGAATGATTGATGTATGAATGAAATTTTTTAGAAAACTTGAATTTTTTCTGTATTTCTTTTCTCTCTTTTGGAAAATAAAGTACTGTATAAATTTTACTTTCTTTTGCATCCCCTGGCAACCATCTTGAGTATGTACAGATGCTGCAGACATCAGCTAGAAAAGAGCAAATAGATCAATACACAGACCGGAGGTCTTATAATTACGGGTCCATGCACGGATTTAGCGGGAACAATCTCACGTAAAAATTTGAATACCGAATGTACTGTGAACTATGTAGACAATACAAAGTGGTGAAACGAAACAATGCATTAGTACTCATGTACATGTACACATATAACTTTCACTTCAAAACGTTTGCTTATTTCATTCACCACTTTTGTATTCATAAAAATTAGTTTTCTTAACATATGTGTATGTATATAAATCCAGAACTATGAAAATGGTTATAAGATTTTCATATTAAGCAAAGAATTAGTATTTCAAGTATTTTATAGTGGAAAAGATTAATTTAATGTTCCAAAGTATGAGATTTGGAAAAGCATGGTCCCTATTAAGAAAACAAACAGTCCACTTTATTGGCTACTCTGGATCATAGAAAGCTTGGTCAATCTTTATAGGTACTACTAGTCATAGAAAATGCTTATATTAGATACTTACATGTTTTTTAAGACATATAATAGCGTATTTTATCTATAAAGGTTCTCTTGGTCACAGAAAAGCTAATTTGATCTTTACAAATGCTATAGGTCATACAAAAACCTTATTTGACTTTACAAACGCTCTAGGTCATAGAAAAGCCTATTTTGATGGGTACGTTAAGATACCGAAATCAACTTGATTTAGGTAAAGCAATATTTTAACTAGGCTAGTTTTTACGAGTTGATTTCGATAATAAAAGCTGATTTCGTTAACTTCACCGAAATCAAGCGTAACTTTGAACATTACAAATGATCTAGGTCATAGAAAAGACTAATTTGATCTTCACAGGCTGGGTAAGCTTGAAAAATGTGATGAATTTGGTTAATTTTTAAATAAATAAATATTGGATGGATGCATTTTTAGCTCACCTGTCACAAAGTGACAGGGTGAGCTTTTGTGATCGCTTTTCGTCCGGCGTCCGTCCGTCCGTCGTCCGTCCGTCCGTCCGTCCGTCCGTCCGTAAACTTTTACTTTAAATGACATCTCCTCATAAACCACTAAGCCAATTTCATCCAAACTTCACAGGAATGTTCCTTTGGTGGTCACTTTTAAAAATTGTTCAAAGAATTTAATTCCATGCAGAACTCTGGTTGCCATGGCAACCAAAAGAAAAAACTTTAAATATCTTCTTTTAAAAAACCCTAAGAGCTAGAGCTTAGATATTTGGCATGGAACATCTTCTAGTGAGTGTCTACCAAGTTTGTTAAAAAAAAATCCCTGGGGTCAAAATTGGCCCCGCCCCAGGGGGTCATTGATTTTCCCTATATGCATATAGTAAAAACTTAAAAATTCTTCTTTTAAAGAACCCAAAGAGCTAGAGCTAAGATATTCAGCATGAAACATCTTCTAATGAGTGTGTACCAAGTTTGTTCAAATAAAAGCCCTGGGGTCAAAATTGGCCCCGCCCCAGGGGTCATTGATTTTCCCTATATATGCATATAGTAAAAACTTAAAAATTCTTCTTTTAAAGAACCCAAAGAGCTAGAGCTAAGATATTCAGCATGAAACATTTTCTAATGAGTGTGTACCAAGTTTGTTCAAATAAAAGCCCTGGGGTCAAAATTGGCCCCGCCCCAGGGGGTCATTGATTTTCCCTATATGCATATAGTAAAAACTTAAAAATTCTTCTTTTAAAGAACCCAAAAAGCTAGAGCTAAGATATTCAGCATGAAACATCTTCTAATGAGTGTGTACCAAGTTTGTTCAAATAAAAGCCCTGGGGTCAAAATTGGCCCCGCCCCAGGGGGTCATTGATTTTCCCTATATGCATATAGTAAAAACTTACAAAATCTTCTTTGAAAGAACTCAAAGAGCTAGAGCTAAGATATTCAGCAGGAAACATCTTCTAATGTGTGTCTACTTAGTTTGTTCAAATAAAAGCCCTGGGGTCAAAATTGGCCCCGCCCAGGGGGTCATTGATTTTCCTTATATGTGTATAGCAAAAACTTAAATAATCTTCTTTGAAAAAACCCAAATAGCTAGAGTTTAGATATTAAGCATGAAACATCTTCTAGTGAGTGTCTACAAAGTTTGTTCAAATAATAGTCCTGTGGTCAAAATTGGCCCCGCCCCGGGGGGTCTTGATTTTCCCTATATATGCATATAGTAAAAACTTAAAGAGTCTTCTTTGAAAAAACCCAAATAGCTAGAGTTAGATATTAAGCTTGAAACATCTTCTAATAAGTGTCTACAAAGTTTGTTCAAATAAAAGCCCCGGGGTCAAAACTGGCCCCGCCCCAGGGGTGTCACTGTTTTTAACTATATGTGTGTAGTAAAAACTTACAAAATCTTCTTTTAAAAAACCCAATGAACTAGAGCTTAGATGTTTAGCATGAAATATCTTCTTATGGATGACTACCAAGTTTGTTCAAATAAAAGCCCTTGGGTGAAAATTGGCCCTGCCGGGGGGGGGGGGGGGACAGGGGGATGAGATCATTGTTTTTCATTACATGTGTGTAGTAAAAGCTTAACATTGTGAAACATCTTCTAATGAGTGTTTTCCAAGTTTGTTCAAATAAAAGCCCTGGGGTTTAAACTGGCCCTGCTCCGGGGGCCTATATACAGGTGAGCGACCTCAGGGCCATCATGGCCCTCTTGTTTATTGAGTAATTTGATTGGGAATTAAATTACACACTTTCTTTGAATTTGTCTCTTGCTTGTATCCTACACAATCAGATGTAGGTTTGAGGAGACATGGTTTGAGAGCTATTTGAGAGAAACTATTTAATGAAGCATTATTTTAGTCTGGCAGGATGTCTGAGCTGTATTTTGACAAAATTTAAAAGTTTCATTCCTGTCCCTGTATATTTAATATGAAGATGGAATATATAGCTTAAGTCTAAGGCAAAAGCCTGCCTGCACTTTCTCCGTTAAATTTGTATTTCAACACAAAAATCCCCGAAAATAACACTGGCCAGTTTAAAACAAGCTCCAAGCAGGGCAAGTCTATTGTTGAAGATCATCGGGTTATGGGTCAATAGGTCTTTGGTATAAAACTTCTGATCTTTGTTTCAGCTTGACCAATTGTGAATTAAGAATAGTTTTATTGTTTTCTTCTTTTATTTTCCTCTAGGTGACTGAGACACAGAGTGAAGTTATCGTGTACATGATTTACCTAACCATCTTCATGCTTCCGGCGGTAAACTCAAATTCTGTTTTAATGAAATATAACAGATGGTTTGTTTGATATTATAGACAGGTTGCTTCAAACTAAAGAGGGTATGAGATTGTATTCAGACTTGATTCAATAATATTGGACTGAGCATATTCAGTGTGTCCACTTAGTTGAATAATATTGGATTGTAAATAAATGTTCAGTATGTCCCCTAAACTGAATGGTATTGGACTGTAAAAATACAGTATGTCTTATTCGCTGAATAATATTGGACTGTTCATGAATATTCAGTATTTCCTCTTAACTGAATGGTATTGGACTGTAAATAGTCAATTGTTCCACTTAGCCGAATAATATTGGACTGTTGATAAATACTCAAATTATTCATTATTTTCTTCAGACTGAATGGTTTTAATATTTTCTCTCATTGGAACAGTATGAGACTACAAATATCCATTATGGCAACTAAAATGAACAATATTGGACTGTATAGCTTCCATATTTCTGGTAATATTGGATTGTAAATATTTAGTTTGTTCAATAAGCTGAGTAAATCAGTGATTTAGAAAATGTTTGGTAAGAAAGTGGCTTATGACGTAAATTGTATTGATGTGCATTAAAATCCACCCAAACACGTGAAAATTATGATGATACTTATTTAGTAGTGGTGTAGCTTCCTCTAGGATGTATAGGCCACAGCATAATCTTTTTTTGCTGAGAAAGTAAAAAAATAAGAAAACTTAAACTGTCTACCTGCAATTGAAAATTACCCTCTAATCATATTTATTGCACTAGGTATATATGCCAAAATGCAAGACAAAAATTTCTTCCCCCTAATAATCAGTCATTTATCGAATGGATATCTAAAGATAATGCTTTTTTATTCAAAGAAAAATAGAGGAAAATGGAAACTATAAGTTTGGAAATCTTTGGACTATACCCCCCCCCCCCCCATAGAAAATAGAATAATTATATTTAAATAGGAAAATAACTAAATGGATAACTGAATCATAAATATGTCAGCGCTTTATTTCATTTTTCTTTTTTCATCACCAGAAATGTTGCAGGATATAGGTCTGTGCTTTTTATACTCTTTCTTTTGTTGTACAATTTAAAGCAGTTTTAACTGAAAAAAGTAAGTCACTTAGGTTATGCTTTTTTAAAATTAAAATACTTTAAAGTATACACTATATTCAGTTACATATAATTTTAGGACACGGTGTTAAATTAAAGAAGGAAGTTTTAATTTTATATCATATGTAATATGATCTATTAATAATCATCCAATTTTACCTTTTCAGGGAATTGTGATATGGAAGAAAATCAACACAGACAGGTTGTTACCAGGTTAAAATGGATTTAGAATAAACCTTTAACGTGCTGAATTTGTGTATAAGATTTGCCTTGCTTTGAATTATAGAGCACTCCATTCAAACTTTTGAGGAAGTTCAGGATCAAAATACAAAAATCACTCCACGAATATTTTATTAAGAGTCTGGTCACACTGCAAGAATGTGTAGGGTGGCCCAACTATACTGATGGCATAGGCTAATTACTATCAAGTTCAGGAGGTTATGGGGTAAATACTGGTCAAAATAAAAGTCTTAAATTAGCAAAAGAAAGAAATTGCCCAAATATATACAATTGTATTAGCATTATATTTGCATTGTAACAGGGTCCTCTTGTACAGTATTTCTGTATTATTCATGTAAATATAAAGTATTCACTTTGCAAAGAATCCTACATTGGTCATTTATAAGAGAATAAATGTTATTTTCCTCA